AGGGACGGTATGCAATATATCCTGGGGTTAAACAAAAAAAGTCATAGTTTTGTCACATAAAAATCCAACACTTAGTATCTTTGATGGTAGCACCAGTAGCTTTACATCTTTGTGTTGGGAAAACTATCACCATTGTCTGATATAGTAATAATCTCGAAACTCTCTCGCGTGGCAACATTTTGACCTATTAATTCTCGAAATGCTGTAATCCGACCATCCATTTCTGCAGGCTTCGAACCATCAGCTTTAGGATCATAGATATCGGTACCAATAATCGGCGATAGGAGGTATTGGACAATTCTTGTTCAAGACAACATGCACGAAGTGACAGTTGTCGACGAATGCCATACCGTGCTCTTGCCTCTCGCTGAAAAGCTTTGGATCGCTCGATAGGGGAAGGAACGTGAGACACTGATACTTGGATAAGTAGACAAGCACAATATTGTATGTTGAAGCAATTACATGACCCATATTTGGAAAAGACATCCAATGATCACGAGTTGCAGGAACATCCCAGTTACTCACAATAGCTTGCATGCTTCTAACGGTTTCTTCGCCACGGTGCATGGTCGTGTAAGTGGAAAAATTAGAAGTCAACTCCCGTAGCATGTCATCTCGCACTCGACCCCATTCATCTTCTCCAAATCCCATCATAGAGGCAACTGCCCGAAATCCACAGTGTCCATCTGAACCGACATTGATGATTTCTCGAACGTGCATACGAAATCGTGGATGGATCGTGTCAATGTACTTATTCTTGCCGATCAAACCTGGTGGCAATCCCACATCTGCATCTTCAAATAATGGTTTGACCGACTCTTGTGTCGGTATAGTGCTTTTTCCTGATTCTTGAGTTGGTATAGTGTTGAAAGAATCATTCGAATGCCCTCGTAATCTCATCAGTACAGGTATCAGCTGCAGTATATTACACTTCATTACTCAGCACAATTATAAAATACAACTTCAATGAAATGAGACGATAGTAGCGACATTTACCTTTGGAGAACAACTAGCTTGCTTCGATTTTTTTTTCTTTGGCTCCACATACTCAAAATGTGATTTGTCCCGAGTGCTTGATTTGTCTTTCCTATTTTTTGCCGGTCGACCTTTGCTAACAACTTTTTCACTAGGCTCCGTAAGGTTAGTCTTCTCTGGGTGGGTAAAATGTCTCAAATGGTTGCGCAATCGAGTTTTTGCATCGAGATCGGCACATTCAAAGAGCTTCTGGTATTCCGATAATTCTTCGTCGATGGTTGGTAGGATGACTTGACCTGTGGTCGCGACGGGCTCCATACTCATGTGTTTCCAATACGAGCCTATTAACTCAAGTGGGATAGGACATTTGTTCACAACAACATACTCATGAAGTTCATGGCGACATGGTAGACTGTGGGTTGTTCGGATGGCGCAACTACAACCCATATCGCTCGGTTGCAATAGTTTCGCATTGTCCACCTCAACTTTGAGTAGTTGTAGAGCGTATTTTGAGATACTTCCACGAAGCTCATTGTATATCAACGTTTTGAAAGTGTGCTCGTACGTATTTTTACTTACTTCAAAGGAAGCCTTGATGTCATTGTGTTGTTCGACAATTTGATTGTGGACTTTCGTATACAAATCCACAAATGTGCCAGTTGAATTACGCACATCCCTTTTCATTCGTCCGTGTGCCCCCTCCACCCTATTAGAAGTGTACGTTCCAAAATGAGTATACTTATTTGTCCACACCGATACAAGTCTCTCCTTGTACGGATCCAACCATGAATTAGCTACATACTCTATAGCCGGGAGATAACCAATAAATGTTCTTTTCAAATCCTCCCAATCCTCATTGAACTCCTCTATGGTATTTCTTTCAATAAGAGCCGAAAAACTCGACTGAAATTGCTTCCATTTGGTGATGTCCTTTGGGAACAATTTCTTACAATTGGCCACTATATTCTTGTTCACATGCCACCGACACAGCAAGTGATGACTCGATGGATACACATTGGCCACTGCTTTCATTAAACCCAAATCTCGATCTGTTACAATGCAATTAGGCCGAGGACAACTGGTCATGGCCTCCTTCAAACAACGCAACGCCCATTCAAAATTTTCCGTCTTTTCGTGGTCCAAGTAAGCAAAGGCAATTGAGAACGTCTTGTTGGTACAAGTAAAACCCACAATCTCAAGAAATGGGAGTCCGTAACGATTGGTCTTGTACGTGCAATCGATGACGAATACGTACGGATACGACTGTGCCAACTTAATGCATTTCGGGTGGATCCAAAACAAGTCGGTAATCGCATTCAACTCGTTCGATCTATGGTACGAGAGGTATTCATCTTCTTTCAACTTGACAAACAATGATTGCAATTGAGATCTCCCATCCAATTCACTGAAATTTAACTTAGAGATAGTATTGTAAACTGTCTTCATACCAGTTACATTAGACGGGTCCTTTTGCTTCAACGCTCTTAGAATTGCCCTTGGTTTCACCATTGCTTTCTTCATAGTGTAAACAAAGGAAACATCCTCCTTTGATAATCTTCCGGCATAAGAGTGTCCGTGCAAGTTTTCGAATAAGTTGTGGTTGTGAATACCACAACTAACATCCAATTTCCACTCAGCCTTTTCATCATCCTTGTGTTCCCTTGTCCCCTTCAATTTAAACGGACAATTGCATTTCTTTGAACCGGTGCTCCTTTTTCCCGGTCTTTGATCATCTTCACCTGGTACCTTCTTGCCAACATAATGGCCCCCACGCTCACAACGAACAATCACATACGGTGTCCTACGTCCTCTATCCCCGTCACTCGAACCCCCAATCATTAACACCATTCCAATTCTTTTACATACTTCACGAACCCATGCCATTAAAGCTTCTTTTGTTGGGAATTTTTCTGACGTGGTAAATGAATGGGTGCAATCGATCTACACAAAAGTGTCGAAAATATAAGACAAGTAAATTTGCAACAGGAACCAAATCGACACTTAGGTGTCGAAAATTACCCATATTTTCGACACTTAAGTGTCGAAAATATAGGTCACTTTCGACACCTAAGTGTCGAATTCGAAGGGTGTTTTCGACACATACATGTCGAAAATAAGGGTATTTTCGACCTGTATGTGTCGAAAATACATGGCGAGTTGTAAAAAAAAAAAAATTCAAAATCGATGTTTTAGCTCAAAAAATACATAAATACATACCTGAATGGGTTCTCCTTGCTCGTAAACTACCATTCTATTGTCATTTGAGGCCATTTTGCAAGTTGTGTAAGGTTTTGATTTCTTTTGTTTTGGGGTTTTTTAGGAGGGTTTTTGGGGAGGGAGAAGAAGGAGGTGGAGGAGGTGAGGGGTTTGGGAGTGAGGAGGGAAATGTTTTTTTAGGTTTTTGATTATTTGGTTTTTAAGAAAGAAAAATAGTATTTGTAATATTTTTTGGTTTTAATTTTCATTAAGGGTATTAAAGTAATTTACAATTAATTATTTAATTTCTATTTTTTTGGTATTCAACTAAGCAAATTTTAGTATTCAAAATAGTTGTCCCCTTTATTTTATTTTGTTTAAATAAGATCATTTGAAATCTCTTGATTGCTGCCCAAAGGTCGCAAAATTGCCAGATCGTTAGACAACGTATTCTATAAATTCTCTTAATTTTCTCTAATGGATATCTCGATTATCTCCACTCTCTCCTAAGTTTATATAATTTCCCTATCGGCATTATTGTTCATTTGAAATTAAATCTATAAATCGAAAGATCGGATCCAAAGAAGGAAAAGTCGTACTATGTGGAGTGTGAATCGGCACCGAGTACTTAGATGATTTCTCGATATTTAACAAATATTGATTCGACAAGATCGGCTCGAGGGCAAGGCCCAAGACTCAAGAGGACTGCGCCTTGGGGCCTCGGAATAGATTCAATACAATTTATTTGTTCATTGTCCAAAAATAGTAAAATCAGCATAAACTAATAATAGTATTTTACGGTTTTATTTTTCTAGATTGTAAAAGAAAAGAAATTAACATGAAATCTTTCAATATTTTTCAATGTGATTAAACAATGCGAATATTTAATAAATTGTTATTATTATCGTCATTATTATTATAAAAATAAAATTATTATGTTTTTGTTTCCATTTAAGTTTTAACCACCGCACAAAAACTCCGATTTCCAGACCACGGCGGCCATGGCTTCTCTCCCCACCGGACCGCCGATCAGTTTCCCGGCAACCAAAGGCGTGTTACTCTCAGTTGTTTGGATCGGACTGTGCTGCATCGCGAAAATCAACGCAGGTGGAGATCTCGGACGAGTAATTGGAATCGGAAACAATGAGAGAGAGTTCGATTACTTCAAGCTGTCTCTCATATGGCCCGGCACTTCCTGCGCCGCAACTCCTCGCCATTGTTGCTCCTCAAACGCCTGTTGCCGCCGGTAATTTTAACTTCCCCTTTCTCTTCCTGAAAAAGATCATTTCATCCACCTGATGCGATTAATTTCTGAATTTATGGTAGTGAGATTTACTTTTGCTTCATTGTTTAATTTGTACCAGTTCAGATGCGCCGACTGGATTTACAATCCGTAAGTCGAACTGTATCCGAATTTTTCGGTAATTTTGTGATTAGATTATGATATTTTCTGTTGCTACCTGTTCATTTGTTTATCATTATGAATCAATATTGTTTGTAGGAGAGAAATGTTGTAAATACATATAGATAGAGAGGAGTGTTCGAAGAAACATTTTATTCGCTCTTTCTTTGCAGACGGACTTTGGCCCGATTATAGTGATGGAACTTGGCCAGCATGTTGCCCGGGGAAAAAGTTCGATGTTAATGTGGTATGAATACTAGTCGCTACAGCTTTAAGCATCAGTGATAGCTTTGGCGAAAAATACCGAGTCATTTACACAGCATACCCTTGATAAGTCTTTATTACTGCAAAAAACTAGCTAGCTTGATGCCCCTGAAAGTTTACGCGGTCTCCAAAGAAATATAGTCGTGTTCGTTATCATGTATTTTGAGATGTCTATAGTGTAGTTAACCAGGGCTGCTGACGAGTTTGATCCTTTTTGGTCCAAATCATATGTATCGCTATCTCCTACTCTAGCACAGTTTCATTTCACTTTTTTGCTACAGTTTTGTCCCTGCGAATCAGTCTATTTATTATGTTAATTATTATTATTATTGTTGTTGTTGTTACTTCTTAGTTATTATTTTTTTTCTTTAATTAATCATTGCAGATTTCATCATTGCTTAGTACAATGAATAAATACTGGCCATCTTTAAGCTGCGATTCTAATATATCAAACTGCTACGGTGGAACGGGATTATTCTGGGAACACGAGGTTCTTTAGTTGACTACACATTCTTTTAGAGCTGGTGATGTCATTACACGAATACTAATACTCCTTTTGTTTCCTTTCATGTTTGGATTGGGACACGTCTGGAGACAGTGGGGTAAGTATCTTGGATGATTACCAATTTTCCTTTTTGGTTTGATCGAATTCATCTATGATTTGACAAATTAAATAATGATATTTGAATCTCGATTTTTGTTGAAAATGGTTTAGCTATGTGTTAATTTGTTCCAAGTGACGCTTGTTAATTTGCGAAACACTTCATTGGCTGGAAAATAACCTTACGTATCTTCTTTCTTTACTTATTATCCAGAAAAACATGGAACTTGTTCATCTCCAGTCGTACGAGATGAGTACGATTACTTTGTGAAAACACTTGATCTCTACTTCAAATATAATGTCACGGTAAGATAATGCTTTTAATTGGGCCACTCCTGTTCTTACACTAGATATGTTTTACGTGCCTCGTGCAGTATTTTTTTTGCCATTATGGAGCATCTGCACGAGTATCCAGACTATTTGAAAGCTTAGCTGATTAAGAGCACCTGTTATTTTTAACTTCAACAAAATCCAATATTTGGATGCTAAGATGGCTTCTTAATGATTATTTCATTTCATTAGCCTCGATACGGTTGGACGATGAATCTTGTATCAATAAACAGCATGAGGGGTCTATCACCAAACATTTTATTAAAGTTACATTACACGCAAATAAAGTATGTCCAAAAGAGCTGTCATACTAATTGCAGAAAAGTTCGCTTATAGACTTTCATATTTGTAGAAACTTAGTGTTTAATCCAATGTCAATATCCTATTATATACACACTTTCACAATGCAGGAAGTTTTGAAAAAAGCTGGTTATGTAGCTTCAAATTCTGAAAAATATCCACTAGAAGGCATTATTTCAGCCATTCAAACTGCTTTCCATGTAACTCCAGAACTTCAATGCTCGGGCAATTCTATTGATGAACTTCGGCTATGTTTCTCTAAAGATTTAAAGGTACAAACGATTTGATATGCATCTTCAGTAAATTCTTTGTCACGGTTTTACCAAAATAGCATGATTCTTCGCCCTCAGATCAATAGCTCAATGCTTGTCTACTATTTTATATTTTTGTTTCCTACACTATTGAAGATATATTATGCTTATCGAATTTCCACGTTAGATCAACTTGTACATAAGTTAGTTGAAGTCGGTTAACATTATATGATGTAGATTAAATAGGATCATCTATCATCCATGTATACATAGTCGGTTATTTATGCTTGTGATTTTGCTCGTTCCTGAAAGAGTGGTGTTTTTTTTTTCTTTTTTCTTTTTTTTTTTTGCAGCTTACGGACTGTGAGGCTGAATCCAGCACCAAAAGTGTGTTGATTAACTCAGAAACATCGTGTCCCAAGTACGTGCGCTTGCCAGAAGTTGTCTCATCAAGTGAGTTTAATGTTTTACATGTCACAGGTAGTGGCAATTACGGACATGATGCCAGTTAATATGTATCTGATGATTAAAACTGTCGACTCTCTTACAGTTTAGCTTGCAAGACAGTTGCTTCTAAGGATCAGTTAAATCACGTGACACAGTGTTTGCGATGTAATCATCAATGTAATGTATTATTTATATAATCGATGATGAACGGTGTAGTAGTTGAATTTTATTATTTAATGTTCATTTCAAAACCACTCCAGCCTATCCTCGTAATTGTAGAAGGCAAATCAGCAGTGGCAGTGTAGATGTTAGCCCCGGTTAAGCTCTGTTGATTAGTAGGTACAAATCATGATTCTATCAGTATTCCAACGACACTGCATTCAATAAACCAAATCGAGGAAGGAAAAAAAGAAAGGACTGCACCTGCACAGGGTTCTCTGTGATAACGGGATTTCCACTCTTGAGTTTATATGCATCAGACCACGAAATATCTACAATTGCTCTCAACCATGAGTTCTTTGCTGGCAAATAATAATCGTCCATCTTAGTCAGATACGCGATATCGCCACCAATTTCCAAGAGGTGGTGGAAGTGAAACAGGGCATCAAATTTTCATACTAACCTCAAAATACTTCCATCAAGAACTACATGAAATACATGAAGGTTTTTTGCACTTGAAACTTGTGACGAATTGTCTTGAGGTACTAAGAATCGAGACACCACCCCCACTTGCCAAACACCCATTTCAACCACGTAATATAGCAATGCTTAGCAAGGTGTTCTGGCAGATCCACCTATAAAAACAGCATACTGGTGAGAAATCGATCATATAACCGTCAGTGTGTGTGTGTGTGTGTGTGTGTGTGTGTGTGTGTGTGTGAATCAGGTATAACTTAGGTAAATGACACACATAACAGATACTTTAGGCCCAAAATTTTAGCTAATGCATTACAAACGCCAACAATCTCTGGCATGTGACATTCGAAATACATAAACAGAGAGCCGAAATGAAATCTTGAAGTCCTTCTCGTTTCTAAACATCTAATATTATACCATGCATGTCCCGGAGTCATGATTACCATGAAATATACTCGCTTAAAAGACCAGTCATGAGAAACGTCAAGACAGGAGTATTTATATCACTTTGGAACAATTTATATCATATATCGGGAGTTGAACAATCAAAAAAGTGAAGGAAAATTTCATATACTACAGAAGAAATGAACTTACACTGCTCCATGTGGTAGTATAGCCATCGGTAGAGAGCAACCAATCAACCATCTTGACATGCATATCTAGCTTGTTACTCGATAAGCTATAATCGATCAATTCATCCTCATCTGCATCAAGATCAAGATTCCGTCTTCTTTTCTTCTTATGTTTCTTATGCTTCCTGCGTTTCACGCGCAACGAAGACCTTCCCTCATAATCAGATCCAGATTCTTCCGAACGTTCATCATCGTGCACCAACGCATATTTGTCACACTTACGAAACTTTATTCCATTACCGATAAGTAGAGATTCCCATGACTCGGGGGTTCGAAACTCCTCTGATAGATTAAAATATATAGCCCATGATTGCAAACCCAAACATTTTATGAATTCCAATGATTTCTTTTTTAGGCTTTCTTCCATTATTGACACAAAATCGTTCGCACAGCTTGCCGATTCACAAAGTTGAGAAACCAAATTCTTTATCTTTTCTTTGTCTTCCACACTGCCTTCTTCCTGCACAAGCCGCAAGAGCTGCCGCCTTTGATTAGTCACTGCATTGAGTAGAAGTAGCTCATCTTTGGTACTGGAACCACTGTATTTTGATAGTATAATCTCAAGCCATTCCGATGAATTGCCAAACCCAACTGAATCTGACTTGAGTTTAAGATACTTTGGTAATAAATCTAGAAGAAGATGCAACTCCTGCTCTTCGAGAATGATTAGAAGGTGACGGCATAAGAATGAGAAAGATTGCTCCATGAGGAATTCCTCTATAACTTCCCATACTTCTTCTAGTTCATCCTTATACATCAAGTCCGTAAACAAATTGACAAAGTATTTTGTATCAACTAACAAAATACTCCCATCCTTTAACGACTCGGAAAACTCACTGGATGACCAAAATTCAGGCACATACTCGAGGAAATTCTCAACTGTCCGTTCGACATCTAAATCAAGGAAATAATGGGGCTTTGTGGCAACCATGGCAGGCGACTGCCCGTGTTTACCTTTCCACTCAAGCTCCTCCCAGCAAATATCTCGGTTTACGAAAGCAAATTGGGACAGTGCCTTAGCACCATTTCCATGATCTAAGACACCACTACCAGCAAAATTAGAGAACCACTCCAAAATACGCCTTGGATTTCCTGCACAAATAAACGGTTTTTTTTAGAGACTAGCAGACAATTTAAGCATTAATGTTAAAATAATATATCCCGACATTTTTATATTCAGAAAACAATTGAAGTAGTGGCTAGCTATTATTATTTACAATATCATTGACAGAATCAGTACTTGCCTTTGAAGAAATTCTCCAGCTTGTGGCTTTTCTTTGCTATTATCGGCCCCATTTTTTGCGGTTGCTTGTCGAAGATCAGCTGCAAAAGCTGTGATGCTAAGTGCCGCTTAATTGGCTTGGATCTCAATAGGCTCACAAACAGGTCTCGTTGGCGGCGTGGGCTAATGGACCTTATGCCTGAAAGAGTGTCACAAAGCCATAGCCGAGCTTCGGATCGGCCTTGTGATGACATCAGCGACCAGATGACTAACTCTAACTCATCAAGAAGAGATATTCTCCGCTTATAAGATTCGTTGTTTGCATTTTTGCCACCTCCGGTGGGCTCGCATAGGAACAACTGAAGCATTGCTGGAGCAACACAATTTATTACAGGAGCAAGTTGGCACAAATTAGCTTCCAATTGACGAATACGAGCTCCCAAAACTAATCGTAAAGGGCAAATTGCACAAACATAACACATAGTGTTGGTAAATATTGGAAATCCCTAATGCCTAGAAGTACTTATTCAGTGAGCAAACAGATTCAAACAGTAAATTCAACCGGTTTTACACACTTACAAATGCAATTACACAGTGGCTAGTGTATCATTCTAAATATTTCCAGAATTCATCAATAGTTATCATCTGAATCTCTTTATTATCCCGAATGAACATTAGAACAGAAGATTCCAATAGCAGAATTATCGATGAATTCAAAGTGATAACACATTAAACAAAAAAAAAAAAAAGATGGAGCAAAAATACAGCGTATACCTGATTTCTGCAACGCCTCCTGGAATTAATTTCCTCGGGAAATTAGGGTTCGGTGACTGAGAGTGGAGAGAGGAACGATCAATTATCCTTCTTCACTGTATCACAAACTGCGAATACTTCCATTGTTTTAAGCTTCGGAAAGCGCTATCGAAATGGAAAGAGAAATCAATTCTTTTTTTTTTTTTTTTTTTTTTTCCTGTTCTAGAAAAGTCTGCGTGAATAAACCCTCACATTTCTAGGGTAAATTACATCTACCTCCCCTTGAGGTTGGTGTAATTACAGTTAAGTCCTTTTAGTTTGAAAAATTACACGTATTTCTTTTGAAATTAGAAGGGTTAATTTGGGAGTATAAGTTAGTGAAAGTAATCTTTGAATTAAATATTAATTATTTACTTCATCCCCATTTCTCCTCTTTTTACATTCAAAATAAATTCCTACTCACGCCAGCCGTCGCAGCTACCGATACAGAATTCAGCCGTCGATTCCCCCAAAATTTCCTAATTTTGGAAACCCTAGGCAACGGAGGTAAATTTCTTCATGTTTTTCTAGCTTATTTCTTCTTATTAAGTCGTTTTCCTTTGCAATATTTTGTAACTAATCACTTATTTGAACAAACTGGTCGTTAATTGTAGTATAAAAGCTTAACAAATCGTGATTTTTCCATTATTAGTGATTCCGTTCATTGTAGTTTTACTGTTAGCTGTTGATAAATTAGAAGAATCTGATTGCAGTTCTCAGTTTTTTTCTTAGTATAGACGTGTGCTATCTATATAGTTAAATAAAGTTTCCACAAAATAATAATGATGATGATGTTTACCACGTTGGTTTATTGTTGTAAAATCTTTTTCCCACCTTTGTTTCACATAGGGTACTTCAGAACAATTCGTTGATCGATTAAAATATGCCCGTTGCCATGTGTGTTGTTTCGATTAGGTCAATTGAAGTCGTTCGTATGACGGTTTAAATTGTACGAAGATGAGAAATAAGTTGAGATGTCCTTTTCTTGTTACCTGATTCTCTAGGTGGTGTATAATGTTTTTTTCTTGGTGATCTGCTTTATGGGCTTCACTGATGCAATAAGATTGTTATTTGCCGCTGCTGTTTGGTGTGCCTCTTACGCTTTGGTTGCAGTTCTTGGAGTCTTCCGGGCCTTTCTCTTTACTTCAATCTGCGATTGACTGTAGGTTTCTTCAGAAATACATACAAGGGAAACAAAGAGAAAGATACCATGGGCTATGCGCAGCTAGTCATCGGCCCTGCCGGTAGTGGGAAGGTTAATAATCAAATTTTATCTCTTAAGTAGGTTACTTTTGTATATTGGTTATCTAGTACACTTTGCTTCGCAAAATAAGCACCGGCATCGGAACCTTTTCAATCTCATTGATTATTTATGCATTTGCTTGATAAGAATTTGATGTGGTTCATTTGATTGTTGCAGTCTACGTACTGTTCTAGCTTGAATCAACATTGTGAAACTGTGGGCCGGTCAATTCATATTGTGAATTTAGATCCTGCTGCAGAGAATTTCGATTATCCTGTAGCGATGGGTAAGTATTTGGACACTTAACAAGGTTTGATTGTGCTATTACTCAGCCATTTATGCTTCTGCTTTCGACCTTAAGATGGACTCTTGTTTTCAGATATTAGGGAACTCGTTTGTCTGGAAGATGTTATGGAGGAACTTGGATTAGGTCCAAATGGTGGCCTTATTTACTGCATGGAGTATCCTTTGCCTTGTCTGATACTGTTTGATTTTTCTTCTTACTGTTCGTTTCTGTTTAGTCCATTGGTTATGTTGTGAATTGTCAAGGTTGAGATGTCGTCTACTTGTCTTTGGGTGAAGTGATGAACTGAGGTTATCAGTTTAAGAATCCCCATCTTCTTATTGATGTATTCCTCTCTGTACAGCCTTAACTATCTCTCAGGCACCTGGAAGATAATTTGGATGATTGGCTGACTGAAGAGTTAGATAATTACTTGGATGATGATTATTTAGTTTTTGACTGCCCAGGTTTGCATAACTTTTCCAATCCCTTCGCTCTTTATTTCAACACACTTCAGTATGCTGATACAAGAAATAATTTAGATTTGTGTTGGTAAGATTTATTAATAGTAGAATCATGCGAAACATTGGTGGATAGGATAGTGGAAATTGATCCCTAAAGTCGATACTGGATACATTGGTCGGACTCCTTGCACGTTCTTTTGTGCCTAGTAATAAAATTTAGTGCAAGTGCGCGCTAATCTCTATTTTTATTTCACTCTATGAAATATTGTCAGTGATATGCATGGTACTTTTGAAGTGGAAATTCTGACACCTCTAACCTCTAATGAGATACAGGCCAGATAGAACTTTTCTCCCATGTACCTGTGCTTAAAAACTTTGTGGAGCATTTAAGGCGTAAAAATTTCAATGTTTGTGTTGTCTACCTACTTGATTCTCAGGTATCTATATTTGTATTTTAATACTTCTATTAGAATGACTAACACCGTTATCTTTATTTTGATTGAAATTCTATATTGTCCTTGTGTATTAGTTTATAACAGATGTGACCAAGTTCGTAAGTGGTTGTATGGCTTCACTTTCTGCCATGGTTCAACTGGAGCTACCTCATGTTAACATTCTCTCCAAGATGGACCTTGTGACAAACAAGAAAGACATTGAATAGTAAGTGCTACTAACATAACAGACGCTCTTCGTATACTTTGTTTGGTGGATATGGGTTGGGGGTATTTAGAGGCTTGTCACCCATTTATATGTGCTTAGTATTTTGTCAATTGATTTTGCTTCTTTTCTTCTCTTAGTTACTTGAATCCAGAACCTCAGACACTGTTGGCTGAGTTGAATAAGCGCATGGCTCCTCAGTTCGGAAAGCTTAACAAAGCTTTAATCGACTTGGTATGTTTTACAAATTTTTAAATTTTATCTTGATATTTCAGTTAAGAGTTTGTTTCAATGGAAAGTGAGTTTGCTTCTCAATTCTCCAATCGGAAACTATTAGAAACTCAGTGTCCCAGTTTCTTTAACTTTAAAACTGTATCAGGATATCACTTTCTATCTGGTCTGGTTTAAATCTTATGGCTCTGAGAGTGTGAATGCATTTCATCTGTAATTTAGCGATCTTCTTAACGAAAATGTACTGGTGTTTTCTTGGCATTAGAAGAGGAATTAGTTTCGATATATTTCTACCTAGTGCAAATGTGCAATAGTGGGAGATAATAACTCCATATGGCGCTATAACATTTACTACAGAACTCTTGTTTTAAGAACTAAGATTGTTGGAATATATGAAACATAGATATGTTTGGTCAGAACAATTTTAACTGCAATGTTTGAATTGGTATTGTCGTTTAACTTGTTAGCTATTACGAGCTTCTCTAGGAGTTTCTTACCGAACAGGAAAATCAAGCAGGGCATGTGGTGACTTTATGATCTTGTGTATGTTGATGCGTGCATATCCGTATATTATTTGTCGAACTTTATGTGTAATGCATGTGTGTTGAGATCCACATGCTTCTAAGAAAGTATTTAATTATCATATTGAATCATGTATATCGAGGCTTTATAACTGCTTTGTTTCGCATCAGGTGGATCAATACAGCATGGTGAGCTTTATTCCTCTCGACCTGAGAAAAGAAAGCAGGTATATTATCTTGAGACAGAACACTCTAGATTTATTAACAAGTCTTAGTTATGCATTACTCTAATCTTGGTATCATTGCACTTAAGAGAAACCCGAGTAAGAATTTCGTAGAATTTGTTTGAGATGTAGGTGGTGATTGAAACTAATAATATTTTTTGCTTTATGCAGTATACAGTACATTTTGTCGCAAATTGACAACTGCATTCAATACGGAGAAGACGCGGATGTGAAAATTAAGGATTTTGACCCGGAAGATGATTGAAGCCTTTCGTATGATGGCAAAGAAAATCCTTGTAATTTTGTTTTGCTATTTGTTGAAAACTGTCTCTCTTAGTTTGGAATTCTAACGCATCTACAATTTTTAAAGTGGTTTCAGCTTGACTGTTGCGTTGTGTCGAAACTCGAATCTGCAACTTTACTAATGACTATTATCTAAAAAAATTATCTTATTATTCCTTATTATGAATTGGTTAAACCTTATTACAGTGCTAATTGATGAAATTTTACTCCTAATTGATGGTATAATCGATTTAAGAACTCTTAGAAATCTTTAAAAAGTGGTGTACATATCAATGAGAACCGGCAAAATATTGTAAAACTTTGGCCAAATATCATAAACTTCATACAAAGTAGTGGACTTTACATTCCAACACTCAAAAGGAAAAGAAAAATCAGAAGAAAGGCGTACATCGAGTTTAAATTAGTAACTAAATTACCAAACAAAAATATATAGTAGTAGTTCATTTGTAGAGATTTATCTTAACACATAATTTCAGACATGTATAAGAATAATGCGACCAAATAGATAACAATACTCACTCGACCGAAAGTTTACACTGGCAAAAAAAGTATCAACTCTTCGACACTATCTTCATTAGTTCAGAGTTGTAAGAAAAAGTTGTTTTACTATCATGCATTGAGAAATAAACAAGAAAAAAAAATAGAGGTACTCAACAGAACACCGACAAAAATTGGACAGACATTTTGTACTACTAGTGGTTTACTCATCATCATCCTCGTCGTCATCCTCATCGTCATTACCAGCAGCAGCATTCAGAGCATTTAATCTCTCTATCAACTTTGCCTTTCTCTCCTCGTAAGTTAGCTTCTTAAGATTGTATCTGCAAAGGCAAGCCAGAAAATAAAATATAATCGGAACAAACATAATAAAGTTAAGAGAAAATACTCTCTGAATATTTAATATCACACTCCACAAACTTTGCAAATATATACAACACATGTTACACGAATTTGAATGCAGCAGCGAGTAATAAGACACAACTCGTAATTTTAATTAGCTTAATTATCTCAATAGAGAAATTGGTTCCATAAAGCAATATGTTGAAGAATAATTCATATTAGCCAAAAGCTCGTATTTGAACAAAATGTCATTTACCTCTTGTGTTGTTTTGGCTGTTGTTTATCAGATTTCTTTGGAGTAGGATCAGCACGAATAGCTGCATGCACCTTCTTGTACATTTCCTCGATGTTATCCGCCTCAACACCCTTTTTAACGTACTTACTAAAGTGAGACTGGTACTTATCAGGCTCGTCTTCCATCAAAGTCTGCACAGACATTCATTGTATAAATATTAATTTCAGACAAGGATGAACAAAACGAATAATAACAAAGTTATGCTGGTAATAAGAACCTACGTTCATGTAGGAAGCCACATGGCCTCCATAGATGTATTTTCGATGAACTTCAGGGTCAAGCTGTTTGTTGTCCTTGTTATATCCAGCAAATCTTTTATCACTATGCGGGATGTCAAGTCCACCATCCAAAGCTCCCTAAAACACAATGAAAAGAAATAAACACACAAACGGGAATGTTAGAAGGAAACATTGCAATTATTTGCACAAGTGCCACTCGAGTAATTGAATAAAGCACAAAGGTTAACGAAGTCATATCAAGAAATAACAACAATACCTTCAGAGCACCAAACACACGGTTCCCAGTAGTAGTTTTTATGAGGCCAACATCAAGGAGTGCACGGAACGGCCTTCTGGTTTCAGCTGGTTCAACAGAATAATCCTCTCCAGTGGCCTGAAACGGTTTTAATTGCACAGAATTGAAATGCATACAACTTTTAAAAACAAACCCACTTTCCTTCGGTACACACATAATCATACATATAAACAGACGGGCAAGAAGAATAAATGAGTTACCTCAACATTTCCTTCGTACTCCTCGTCCATTTCAAGCGTTTTCAGAACTCGACGACTCAATAGAAGTCCAGTGCAGTAAGCTGATCCACCCACCAAACGTTAGAGAATTTCACCATTTAGAGGGGAATTTTTTTTCGAAAAAATATTATAGTGTTAACAATACCAGCAGCGTAGTTGCTAAGGCCAACTTCAAGGCCAAAATGTGGCAGCTCGTGTGCATAAGCAGCAGCAAGGACATGGTCACCGGTGATAGTAGCAGATACAATCTGGCAAATTATATCCTTATTGGTCTAAAAATCTGGTTAAGGACCATAATTTGAGAAAATGAGTTCGACCAGTACGATAATTCAACAATATCATCATAATTAAAACATGAAACCACTCCATTTTTTAAGCATTTAAAAAATTAGAACAGAGAGGAGCACAAAAGGATACAAATCGCACAACAAATCGATACTTCGGGGTGTTGTATTTATTCTTATCCTGATTGATCATGCGAATCCTTGCCCGATAGTCAGTCTTCCCCTCTGAATCAAAAATAACAAGGTCACAAAAAAATTAATTACATCATTAAAAAAAAAAAAAAAAAAAAAAAAAGCAGAAGCAGAAACAATCATGGATTTACTGACCCCTCCTTCTCTTGAATTTAACTTGGAAACGCTTGAAGTAAGCTCTCGATTTTTGGGCTTTGACGAACACCTGAGAATAGCAATTGCAGTTTTAGCAAATTAAAAAATAAAGTAAATATTAACAGAGAATATTCTGTCATTGGCAAGTTCTCGAAATATTACAGCAAAAAAATTACAATCAACCCAACGATGTAAATTAATTGAGAAACAATAAATATATAATCCTAGTACATGAAGAACACACATTGTCGTGAAGTATCGAAGAAATCAATCGAAAAGAGATGGACGTATCGGGAACGAAGGAAAATTCAAATGTACCGATTAAAATTTGCATGATCATAGCTTCTGTTTACAAAAATGAAAAAAAAAATGATTTTTTTTTTTTTTGCATCGGATCAGAAATCTTACCATGGTTCAGCTCCGACGACGTAATTCGACGGTGGATTGAGGAAGAAAAAAATATTATTTAAGAGAAATGCAGCGGGAGAAGCTGAAATATTGGCAAAAATGAAAAACCCTAACGGGAAGATGGGCTCTACGAATTGACGGCAGTGATTGAGTTGAGTAATGAAGGCTTCATCGGAGCCCGCTTGTTTCTTGGGCTGGTATGGGCCGGGCCCATCGTCTTCGTACGTGTGTTCGGCCCGATTCGAACACATTTCATATTACAGTTAAACCTTAAACCTATATAAATTAATACAGTCACACTAGGAAAATTCTCTTAATTTAACGAATTATTAAATATTCGCTAATCACTATATCCCCATTTTTAATGTAATTTGATCAGTAAAAAAAACAGTTTGTTAATACCGATGGGGATTGTTGGAGTTGATTCGATCCCAACAGAAGTGAATCCGTTTTATCGATTAAAATACCGAGAGGTTTTTGGTCTTGCGTTTTAATCATCCAACTCTGGCTTGCATTGCTTACAATGTTCACACGCGAGAAATCGACTTGTTCGAAACTTATCAATAGCTCGACATGGCTGGCCAGATAAAGGATTCAATAACGACAATGGAAAAAAAAAAGTATTAACCCTTTAACACTATCTTCATTAGTTCAGAGTTGTAAGAAAAGGTGTTTTACTATCATTCATTGGGAAATAAACAAGAGTAGAAAAAAAATTGGAGGTATTAAATAGAACACCAAAAAAAATCGGACACACATTTCGAACTCCCAACGGTTTACTCATCATCATCCTCGTCATCATCATCATCGGCATTACCAGCAGCAGCATTCAGAGCGTTTAATCTCTCTATCAACTTGGCCTTTCTCTCTTCGTAAGTTAGCTTCTTAAGATTGTATCTGCCAAAAGCAAGCCACAAAACAAATTATAACCAAATTATATATTTTTATGACACAATTCTTAATTATAATTAGCTTAATTAGGTCAATAGAGAAATCGGCTCAGTAAAAAGCATTTTGTCGGAGAATACTTCGCATCAGCTAAAAGTTTGTATTTAAAAGAAATATATTTTACCTCTTGTGCTCCTTTGGCTGCTGTTTATCGGATTTCTTCGGAGTAGGATCAGCACGAATGGCTGCATGAACCTTCTTGTACATCTCCTCAATGTTATCTGCCTCAACACCCCTCTTAATGTACTCCTTAAAGTGAGACTGATATTTCTCAGGCTCGTCTTCCATCAAAGCCTGCACAGACATTCAATATATGTATTTATTTCGAGAAACAGAAACCTATTTTTTGCTGCTTCTCAAACAAACAAATGTATCAGACAAGAATCAACAATATTAACAATAACAAAATTACGCTGTGTGGCAATAAGAACATACGTTCATGTACGAAGCCACGTGGCCTCCGTAGATGTACTTTCTATGCACTTCAGGGTCAAGCTGCTTGTTGTCCTTGTTATATCCAGCAAATCTTTTATCGCTATGGGGGATATCAAGCCCACCATCCAAAGCTCCCTAAAACACAATGAAAGAAATAAATGTGTGATGCTCTGAACACAAAAAGTCCACATCAAACACACCCTACTTCTGACATGACATTGTTTCGGAAAACACGGTAGGTAATACAGTTAATAAGGTCATGCATCAGAAAGCATCTCCACTGGCCCAGAAGAAAAAACCAACAAGTCATGCATCATCTTTAATAAGGTCAAGAAGATTGCGATCTCTTGCACAAGTGCGACCTAAGTGGTTATAGTAGAGCACAAAACAATACCTTCAGAGCACCAAACACACGGTTCCCAGTTGTAGTTTTTATTAGGCCAACATCAAGGAGTGCACGGAATGGCCTTCTGGTTTCAGCTGGTTCGACAGAGTAGTCCTCTCCAGTGGCCTGAAAGGATTCAATTCACAAGATCACAATGAATTCAATATTAATAAAAACAAAATTGAACTATAAAACTACTTGCTTTCATGCAAGCACAAACATACTCGTACATATAAACAGACGGGCATGAAAACTAAACAAGTTACCTCAACATTTCCTTCATACTCCTCATCCATTTCAAGCTTTTTCAGAACACGGCGACTCAATAAAAGTCCAGTGCAGTAAGCTGATTTTTCCACGAAGTGTGTTAAAAATTCACCATTCAGAAAGAAAATAAAAATTAGAACAAATATATATACTGTTAAGAATACCAGCAGCATAGTTGCTAAGGCCAACATCGAGGCCAAAATGAGGCAGCTCGTGTGCATAAGCAGCAGCAAGGACATGGTCACCAGTGATAGTAGCAGATACGATCTGGCAAATTATATCCTTATTGGTCTGAAAATCTGGTTAAGGACCATACTTTAAAATATTGTATTGGGCCAGTATTATCATACAAGAATATCATTATAGTTAAAACATAAAACCACTCTGTTTCAAACAGTGAATTATTAATAGTAATAAAATCATGAATCCTGATTTCTGAAATAATCTTTTATGCATCCAAGATGAATCAAGATGATAGAGACGGAAGTCAGGAACAGCGCAACATTAACAGCTGCAGCAATAACAGGCATAAAGCATTTCAAAATTTAGAACAGAGATGGGCACGAAAGGATACGAATCGCACAACAAAACGATACTTCGGGGTGTTGTATTTATTCTTGTCCTGATTGATCATGCGAATCCTTGCCCGATAGTCGGTCTTTCCCTCTGCATTGATAATATCAAGGTCACAAACAAATTCATTTAAAAAAAAAAAGAGAAGATAGCTGAAAAAATCATAGATTGCTTGCTTACCTCTCCTTCTCTTGAATTTAACTTGGAAACGCTTGAAGTAAGCTCTCGATTTTTGGGCTTTGACAAACACCTGAGAATAACAAATACAGTATTAGCAAATACAAATCGATTAAATATTAACAGATAGTATATTGGTCACCCTCCAAGAGTAGCTAACCACTGTAAATTCCATATGATAGACTATCAGCATATATATAACATGAGATCAGACAAACACAATAAAATTCGAACAACAACCTAAGTGCTCGTAAAATCTGTAATGATGAGCTTTAAAGTTTACGCCACGCCTATTTGACAGTCAACCAGTTATGATCGTTAAACAAGGGCATCCACTATTTCATCCCAAACGAATGAAACGATGGAATTGTGAAGCAATAAAGCCTACCAACTTTGTGACACCAGAAATTTGTAATGTGTAAGCCTCAAGACAATCAAATGCAAATATCCAAACTGTAAATTAATTGAGAACAACTATTAATTCACATTCCATTGGTAAATAGAGATCAATTCTTCATACGTTAAAAAAAAAAAAACATTTTTTTTATATCCTTAAAAATTCAATCGTGTCACATCTCTGTAAAACCAATTAAAGCTTCTGATTAAAACACACACACACAAAAACGATAAAATGTTATCCTCGATCATGCTTTACAAACACGAAAAAGCAAAGGGGAAGAAATCACGATACAGTGGATAACTATTAACGACCAGTTAAATAATCGCACAAAAAAAATTTACGTCGGGATCGGAAATATTACCATGGTTCAGCTCCGAGAAGAACTTCGACGGTGGCTTCAGGGAAAGAATTAAGAAAATGCACCGGGAGTGAGTGAACTGAAGTATTGGTAAAACTAAAACCCTAGCGGGAAGATGGGCTCTACAAATTGACGGCTGTGATTGAATTGTGTAATGAGGGCTTCATCAGAGGTTTTGGGCTGGGCTGGTTGATTTTATTTATATATTGTATTTAAGCAAAGGGCCTCTAATTGAAATATTTTGTTATTTGTTGAATTTAAAATGCTAAATGCAGGACGCTGTAATTTTTAATTAATTAATAAACCTTTGGCCAATAAAACAATAGGTGGACAATAAAAATAAAAATAATTGTTCGGAATATTATAAACAAAATGTGTCAAGTGTTTAAATATAAATTTAAGTGTTTGATTTTATTAAATTACGTCACATTAAAATTAAAGTATATTAATTTTTAACAAAAAAATAAATCATTTTTATTTTATTTTTCGAGTCATTTTACGATTGAATATAAAATTTAAAATTAAAATTAATAATTTTAGAAATTTAAGGCTATGTTTGGATGCATTTTTGTTTTGTTTTCGTTGTTTCTCAAAAACAAAATGGGATTTATTACACTTTTCAAATTATTTTCCCAAAACAATTTCAAAAGTTTATCTCTCATTCAGACATGATGTGACTGATACAGTAAAATGATTTGACTGCTACAGTAAAAAAATGTCTTCACTAAAAAACAAATAAACATCAATTTATCTTTCAATTTTTTTCTTCAAAAATATTTTTTTTCTAACACCTTTAAACATGATTTGACTGCTACAGTGTATTTTGTCTCCTTCCAAAATACAAACAAACATTACTTTTATTCTCAAATTATTCCCCCAAAACATATTTCCTCAAAATGAAATCAAAATAAGATCCAAAACGTTTCCGAACATTGCCTAATTTTTTATATGTTAAGTTTTTTCAGAGCTTTAAAAAAAAGGAAAATGCAATAAATCCAGTAAGCAATGTTTGAAATATTGGACCAATCCCAAGACTGAAATAAATTAATTGTTAATTAATTAATTATTAATTAACTATTTAACCGCTTAAAATGGGGCAAACGCCCAACCGAATCCTTAAACCCAGTTCCGTACAGATTTTCTCTTCCTCCCTCCAATGGCTTTCTGATTACAATCAGCATTTTATTCTCGAATTCCGAAACACTGAACTCATTTTTTTCATCTAATTTTCCCCCAATTACGTGACCGAATTTCACTTTTTATACCATAGATTTCTTTTTAAATTATTAATGGCAGCGAGTGCTACTCCTTCAGGAGCTCACAGCAATGGCAACAATCATAACGGCAGCAGTAACGGCGGCGTTCTAGAAAATTCGAACGGCGGCGGCGTTTCCGGAGCGGAGAATTCTGTGGCAGGATCCGCCCAGACTGCCCTCCGCCACAACCCGGGTCTCTCGCTTGATTGGACCCCTGAGGAACAATCCACGCTCGAAGATTTGCTCACGAAGTTAGTCTTCATCTCTTGTGATTATCCTTGTTGATTACGTTTTTGTGGGTTTATAACTAATCGTAATTGTTTTCCGTTTAGATGATGAGTGTGTGTTATGTGTTTGGTTGCTTGTTTTGATTTAATCATTGAGATTATGTTGGGCCTGGGTGTGTTTGTTTGATTGGTTTGCCACTGAATGAAATGGAGTATGGGCTATTGAAAAATTATTCTTTGGGGCTATTAGTAAGCTAAAATTGGATTAGCTGAACAGGTTAGGTAAAGTGTATTGATAATTTTTTTTTTTAATTTTCCAATGTAGAGAAATCTGCGGGTTTCAGCTAAAATGGTCTGAGTGAAAAAAATATTACTTTACACCACTTCAGTTGGATACGTTTGTGATGATACTATAGACAGATTTGTAATGATTGTTACTAATTCGATATAATTGTCCATTTTTGGATAAGTTTGGTTTTTGAGGGGATGTGTGTGCCTGCACGTCTGTAGTAGCAAGACTGGGGTTTCAGGGTTACATGCGTCATTTTACTTTTATCGCGTCATCGTCAATATGGAGCATGTGTAATATTCAAATTTGCCCTGATCATTTTGGTTTTTGAGGGGTTTGGGTGGGAATATACCGACTTAATTGTCCATTTTTTTGGATCTTCATATTTGCTGCATTGTGATTTTGTTCGGTTTTGAAAAGCATAATTTCTCATCACACTAGGGCTGTATGCTAATTGATATTCTTTTTACACGTTATGTTGATTTGCCGCTGTGTTAGCATGAACTAGTTCTATGTTGCATCTTGTAGATAATGGTTCGAAATTTTGCAGATATTCCTCTGAAGACCAGATTTATAGGTACTCACAAATTGCTCAGGCTTTAAACGACAAGACGGTTCGTGATGTTGCATTACGTTGCAGATGGATGAATGTGAGCTATTCTTTTGCCATTTCTTTTTGACGTTTTTGTTGTTGGAGCATTCCACTTTCAGAATTTCATATTTAAAATAGTGCCTCTAGAGTTTGAGTTTAGAAGGGTACTGGGTTTCTAAATACATTTCGATATCAAAATTGAACAGATATTTGTGATTAGGCTCAAGGCACGATGATCGATATTCCGTCCCTGACGGCTAATTTCCTCTGCAAGTTAAACTTTATACTTGTTAGTTCATGCTAGGTTTTAGGGAAGTAACCAAGTAGAAGAATAAGGAAGACCATGTTGGATGTCCCTATGCCCAGAAGAATTTTAGAATGTGGGTGCTATATAAAAATGATAGGAACTTATAGGTAACAGAGAAAGTTTGACTCTAATGGAAGATGTAGTATTTTTAAGTGATAAGATGTTAATATATATTCAAAAATTAGAAACATGCTCTTTATTCATTCCTTGCTCGGATTGTTTTTTTAGTTCCAAGTGTTCATAATCATTAACGTGGTATGAACTTGAATCCTGGGACTATATTCAAATGTCATCTTATTTCTTAATTAGAACATCTCTCATAATGCAAAATTTCAGGATTTGTTCAATAGGAAAATCATTGCAGTTGTTGGTTATTACCAACATCCTGAAAACGTATGGATTTCAAAATCACTTCCAAATTAGTGGATGCTTTCAAGGGGACTGGTGATGCCCACAAAGGGATACTTGTAAAATAGTTTAGTTCCATATGTGCGTGAACATGGATATAGAGTAAGAAGTAACATGTGTGACCATACATGTGGTCAAAAGAATCATTTAACTGAATTTCCTGAACGTAAAAGGAATTGTTGGTGTACAGAGTTCTGAGAGTGGAGAAAATATTTGGCTTCCCTTGAACTTTGAGGATGGTGATGAAAACTAAAAAGCAATGATTGATTCTTCACTCATAAAAATGTGTTTAACACTTCCACTATAGGCTGCCTTAGTGGGATGTATTCAACGGTTGAACTATTTGGGATTGTTGAACTATAAGAACCAGGCTGGAATTAACATGGAATAGTCACAACGAATCTGATTCGTGTATTCAACTAATTCTGGCAATCCCACTGTTTTGCAGAAAAAGGAAATTGGCAAGAGAAGGAAAGATGACCACAGCTCAAGGAAAAATAAAGACAAAAAGGTAGTTCCAGTATTTCATGTTATCATGCCCCCAAGCATTAGTGCTGCTCTGTCTTTATCTTCTAACCACACTCTGTATGGCGTATGCAATTTTCAAATTCAGGACATTTTATTTGTTATGGCTCTGATACCATGTTGAATGACCACTTCATCTAGAAGTGGAGAGGTCACCCTTCTTATTAACTGAAAATGCTTTGGATAAAGTGAATAGAAGCGCTATGCCAGAGATAACAAGTGTGCTGAACAATCCCGGCATTATTTTCTAATATGATTTTGTTAGTCTATCTTTAATTTGATGGATGATTGGAAAAGGAAATTTTAACTGCTTTGTTCTTTTTGTATTTTTTCAAACACGTCTAAGATAAATTTTTTATCCAACTACTTTTTGTTTTCACTTGGATTCTCAGGAAAAGGTTATAGATTCATTGCCAAAATCTTCTCAAGTTGCAAATCGCTCCAATGCGCCTTCTTACGCGCATTCAGTTATGTTGGATAGTGATGATGGAATCTCATACAAAGGTTTGTCCATAGTCGTACTTTCTCATTCATGAAGAATAGAAATCTAGGGAGTCACTTGCTAACAACCTTCGACAATCCATTGAATTGTGTCTCCTACCTAATGCATCTGTTTTTGACCCAAGGGATCAGGATATTATATATTCTTTAGACAATTTTCGCATCCCTTAACATGCTGTATATCAAAATAGAGTGTGGTGCGAAAGATACATATTGCTTGAAATTTCAATCTATGATTTTACTATCCCTTCCGTACATTGGTTTATATGTGATCATTCTTATCCTTTTGATTGTTGACTCGATGCTTCCTAACTTATATTATGTGAATACTTCTAAAATTGTGAATTTCAGCTATTGGTGGGGCAACTGGACAGCTTCTTGAGCAAAATGCGCATGCCTTGGATAAAATTTCTGCCAATTTTTCAGCTTTCAAGGTACTTCGGAATTACAATATCAGGTCTTCCCATCTTCCAAAAAGAATTGTTGTGGATACTAACTGTTTAATAACTGTATGCACCACTTCCTTTTTCTTTCATGAGTTATTGATGGACGTTTAAGCTGTTATTTGACTGTAATATATACCTTATGCGAGGCTAAACACTTCAAAGCAAAAATTTACCTGGATGAATATGATTTTGTGGTGAGATGTGTTAATCCTGGATATGTAGATGCATCAGATGTCCTCGACAATGTTGACTTTTATATTAAGGGTAACGGTTTACCATCACAAGATGGGACCCAAAAAAAACTCACGGTTGTTTTGATTTCCGCAATCAGTACAAGTTTCATGATTTGGTTGATATCGAACCATGGCATTGGATTTTTTTTCCTTCTATGTGTTAGTTTTTTCAGATCAGGATCCAGTAAATATTAGTAGTATATTTTGAAAGTTCAGACTAAAGTAAGAAATATGTTATAAGCTATAGTAGATATGATTAATATTGTTTACACTACATTACACCTGTACTAATATGTAAATGAAGTTCATCTAATTGATGTCTTTGATATGTCATTTGGCACACTATTATATGAAGAAATGTGTTAGGCTGTGTAACTTCTCATCCCAATTTTTATTTTTTCCTTCATGTTTTGTCCTCTCTCTCTCCACCTGCTTTTGTAAATCAAATCACTGTTCTATTACTCTCAACTTTTTCATGTTATTTCCATTTTTTTCTATAGTTACTTTCTTAATCTCAAATTTTTAACTAATGCGGATCGATTTTAATCCGATTTGTCATTTTATTAATTGTACAACCGATATATTTTTTTTTAAGATTATAACTTCTAAAATGTAAGCATGTTTAACGAGTTATCTCTAAATATTTTGCCTTTTTATTTGCGTGCAGATCCATGAGAACATTGATCTCTTCTATCAAGCTCGAACCAATATCCTTACGATTTTAAATGAGTATGTCCTAATCTCTCTACTTTTAGCATTATTCTCAAGTCGTTAAGCCCTCCCTCCCTCCCTGTGTGTGTGTGTGTGTGTGTGTGTGTTTCCGTTTATGATCCTACTGTGAGTTACAGACACATGAACTAGGTCACACTCCCACACTTTTTCACGTGTCACGAGCGCTACACGCACATTATCACACATTAACACATATAAATGTGGATGTGTGAAATACATAATACTAAATATATGCACGTGCATGGTTAGATATTTATCCCAGTGCCTTACATATATTGGATATTTGAAACAATTTAGAGATCCTGATTCGAATTATGCATTGCAGCTTCAATGACTTGCCAGAGCTAATGAAGCAGATGCCACCACTTCCTGTCAAGCTGAATGAAGAACTTGCAAGCACCGTTCTTGCTCGACCTTCCCTGCCAAATAAATCTTGAGATCCCTTTTTTCTTTTCCTTAGTGTTAACGATTCTTGCTCCCAAGTCTCAAGTTAGTATATTTATAGCGAAAAAAATAAAATTGGGTTAGTCAACTCGACTCTAAATGGGGGTTCAAGTTTTCATTGTTTAAAGATGGTCGCTTTCACAGTTCAAATGTCCCGTTTTTTGTGGTTTCATTTGATTTCCGGTTCTGTTTCATTTTCGTGATTTGTCCTAGGATGTAGGAGTTGCTGTAGTGAGTATTTTTTCTTGCTGTGTAAATAAATGTAGGGGGGAAAGTGTAGTTAAAAAGTCTTATTGCTGTGGATGCTGCCATTATAATGTACTACAGGCATATCTGTGTGTAGAATACATTCTTTTAATAATTATCACTGTATATGACAAATTATTATTATTATTACTATTGTTTTTTTTTTTATTATTATTATCAACATCTTGAAAGTTTAAATAATCCAAAATGTTACAACAGTTTCATTTCGTAATATGATTTAACATTATATAAATTTCTAAAATACTTTAGAAGATGTAGAATTTTTTTATGATTAATATTTTGAATAAATCAAAGCTTTAATCTGTACTAATTATTAGTATTTTTCAAAATAAATAATTAGTACAGCCCAGAATGCGATATGATAGAACTTCGAGGACATGATAATAAATATAAAGAAAAAAGAGGGCTTTTTTGGTATGTTATGAAACAAAACCAAATTTGACTGTTATCGCATTTGAATTAGAGAATCAATCTCTGATAGAAGATTTAGTAACTTCGAAGAACAAAGAAACTAGAGAGAGAGAGAGAGAGAAGAGAGAGAGAGAGAGAATTTAGGAACCCTAATTAAAGATTGCCTGGCCTATTTCCAATTTACGTGTAATTTCAGTATCATTTTTTTGCACAATTCCTATATTCTGCAACGGAATCTGCATGTATACCTGCGGAATTTCCCTTACTATAGCAAAACCCCTTTATCCATATTACAATTTCTCGTCATATCTATGATCGAACACCATTAATAATACCCGGTTTGATCTGGTCGGAATATTTCTTCCCCTTCCATTCCGTTGAATTTTTGGGATCCGGCCAGCTGCTCTACTAGCTAGGGCAGTTTTTTGCTCCTATTTTTTTTTTTAAATAAAAATTGTTTCCCTTTATTTGGGATCGCGTGCTGCAGCAAATCGATTCATTGATTGATAATTTCAATGGATGATTTGGATATACTGGCGCGGGACTTTGGTTTTGGAGCCAGAGGGAAATCCAACCCGATGAGATCCATGGATCGTGGGCCCGTTGAAGAGCCCTCGTTCAGGGACGTATTTGGTGAGCCCGCCAAGTTCACGCCGAGCTCGAATTCGAATGATTATGACAATCACTCGTCAATGAGCGATTTCGATTATGATTCTATTTTCAATTCTTCGGGGGCAGCTGTTCAGCCTAAGAAAGATACTAGTAGTAAAATATCGACCGGTCCTGTTTACGATAAGCCTTTATATGATGAGGATATATTTGATGGGTTGCCGGGGTTGAAGAGCAAACCGGCTTCGTCGAAAGTGAGGTTTGATGATGAGGTTTTTTCGTCGACTTCCTCTCCACCCTCAAGTAAGAGTAGAAACCCGAAGGGTAATTTTGATGATTTGTTAGGGAATATGGGGAAGAATGAAAAATCGGGGGAGAACGTAAGAACTAGCAGTGCTAAGAGCAGCTCGAGTTCGAAGGTGTTTGATGATTTGTTAGGTGGGTTTGAGAATGGTGTTGCTTCTAGAGACAGGTAATTTCTTGCTTTATTGATGAAGTTCTTGTTTAATTGTAACTTACAGCTGAATTAACTGCTAATCCATGTCATGGCTTTTATGTAAGAGTACTTCTGAAATCAGAAGTTCGTGCTCAATTGGAATGTAATTAACTTGAACCGTGTTCATGATGATAAGCGTGCAGATTGAGAAATACTGTAATTCAGTCCCTTAATTCAAACCAAATGGACTTTAGCCCGGCCCCATCCTCCAAGAACCAGCATTGCGCATAGATGATTTCTTCTATTTTGATGCTTTGCTCTCCCGTTGTAATTTGCACGAGATGACAATCTTGGAGGTGGAATAATGGTGTTTTAACCTTGAATGATAATTATTATTTATATCATATCGTTATTATTATGGATACAGTAGACGATAGGCATTGCAATAACAAAACAAATACTTCATTCGTTTTTCATATATATATATTTTTTGATATAACATGAATGAACTACAAGCTGAGAATCTTTCTTCTTTTTGTAACAGTCCATTACCAGAGTCAAATCGGGGCTCAACATCAGTTCGTGATGTAAAGAATGGGACTGTTCTGGATAATCCTTTTGTTGTTAAAGAATCGAGTTCGGTCCATGGATCTTTGTCGTCCGGGGTATTTACAGATTCGGTGGAGGAAAAGATCAGTAAGCTTGGTAAATCTCGGAGTGCAAGGGCTGAAGCTTCATCGGGTGGTGGTAGAGGAATTGACGACTTGGAACCTCGTAATAGCTTTGTAAAAGCTCCCTATTCATTTTCCCTTGGGAAGGATCAAAGAGGGAATGAAGGGAGTCCTTCAAGATTAGCAACACCCCAGTCTGCTACTTCATTAGAACAGAAGAGGAACTCTTCTTTTAGACGTTCCGAAATCAATATGGTGAAGAAATCTCATGAAGACAATTTTCAGGAACCTCCCTTATTTGATATGCCAAAATTTTCTACAGATTATCAGAGATCTTTTAGTCAAACTGCTGCTGCTTCTCAATACGTTGATACAAGCTCAGAGGTTGATGGGTCTCCAACGATATCAGGACAGGGAGATCAACTTGATCAAATATGGTTAACTATATCAGAGGTACCTCTTTTCACACAACCTACAGCTGCTCCACCCCCCTCACGACCCCCTCCACCAATACCTCATAAAACCTCAAGGTCAGAAACAGGTTCCCGTTTTCCAAGTTCAAGAAAGAAAGGTGATGAATTTTCTTCACCTTCATATTATAGTCAACATTCTCAGAGTCCTAAGCCGGTAAGATCTGCAGCTAAGGGCCCTCCAGCTTCACAGTTTGATGACCTTGAGGATGTTGCCATGGATAGGTCTCAAAACAGTGTTGATGAAAGTGCTGTTCGTCATTCTACTGAAGAGACCAATCCATTCTCTACAGCTGCTGCATCTGCTGATGCAATGAAGGAGGCTATGGAGAAAGCTGAGGCTAAATTCAGACATGCGAAGGAGGTACGTGAAAGAGAAAATGCAAAGGCCGCTAGAAATAAGGAATCTGCGCAGCTGGAAAAGAATGAACAAGACGAGCAGGACAGAGAATTTAGGGAAAGTGAGGAGAGATTAGAGCGTGAAAGGAATCAAAGGGAAGAGGAAGAGAGAGAGCAGAGCAGAACTCAGAGGGAGATGGAGAGACAAAGATCAAGGGAGATTGAAATGCAGAAGGCTAGACAGGCTGTGGAAAGGGCCAATCGTGAGGCACGTGAAAGAGCATCAATTCAGGCACGCGATAGAGCAGCAGGCGAAGCTCGTATGAAATTTGAAAGGGCTGCTGTTGGGAAGGCTAATGCTGAAGCTCGAGAACGTGCTGAAAGAGTAGCAGTGCAGAGGGCACAAGCCGAGGTACGTGAAAGAGCTGCTGCAGAAGCTAAAGAAAGAGCAGAAAAGGCTGCTACAGAAGCTCGGGAAAGGGCTACTGCTGCAGAAGCAAGGGATAAAGCTGCTACGGCGAGGGCTGAAGCTGAAACAAGGCGTCAAGCTGAAAGAGCCGCTTTTGAAAGGGCTGCAGCAGAGGCTCGGCAGAGAGCTGGTGCAGAAGCACGAGAAAGAGCAGCAGCTGCTGCAAAGGCGAGTCAACAAAGGAATGATGATGATCTGGAATCCTTTTTCAACATGGGACGAGCAAGCAGTGCACCAAAGGGACGGGCAAATACAACCGTAAGTGCTAGAAAAAAGACATGGGTTCATGAACCTTGTTTCAGTTTATGAGATTTTGTCGCTCACTGTTCCTATGATTTTCTTGGATTTATTGCAGAATCCCTTTTCCGATCAGCAATTCCCAAACAAGGAAGGGTCTGAAGCTGCAAAGAGGACATCATCATCTAGTGGAACTGCTTCCAACATGAAGAAGGCTTCTTCCACTACTAATATTGTTGATGATCTATCTTCCATTTTTGATGGTATATCATCGTTTTATATCATTTATACATGTACATATGTTTTAGCATCTACGTCTTGCTGACTTGTGTCCTGCTCTTGAAACAATCTTGCTTCCAAAGTTGCTCCATCTTCTGGAGCTTTCCAGGAGGTTGAAGGTGAAAATGAAGAAAGAAGAAAAGCCAGAATGGTTCGCAACCAACGCACTCAAGAGCGTGCGGTGTGTATTTGTGTTCTCTTTTAAACAACAGTTTCTGATTTTTTTTTTTTATTTCTTTTTCAACTGTGATTTAGAATCTATTACCTTTTTGTTTATTTCCACCATCTGTGTGGGTCATCTTCTTTATTACTAAGTTTGGTTCCACGTGCCCAGGCCAAAGCAGTGGCTGAGAAGAATCAGCGGGACCTTCAAGTTCAGAGGGAGCAAGAAGAAAGACATGTAAGTTTTTGCATAAGTACACAAATCTTGTGATTTCTTATGTCTACCAATGGCAATATTTTCCCATTGCATATCATCTTAGCTAGCATACATATGTCAGGGATTTTGAACTTCAGAGTGATAGTTATAAGAAGAGAGAGTAATGGGTTTTATTGTGCTACGAAATTAAGAATTCTCATCTTAATGTTGAAGTTATGGTTTATTCTTCTTTACATGGAATAGTGTTCTTGGAAATTGCTAAGAACTTTAGAGAATAACTAGTTCTGGTATAAGCCTTCATAGATTTAACTGCATTGTAAAACATCATTACATCCGTCTGACCTTATTGTTCTCTGGTTGCAGAGGTTTGCTGACGCATTAGATTTTGAAATCAAACGTTGGGCCGCTGGAAAGGAAGGAAATCTGCGAGCTCTACTGTCAACTTTGCAATATGTACGCCCTGATTAGTTTCCGCCTCGAGTATAAGCTGTATCATGCTTTAGTGGCAAACTTTTCAAGATTTGACTATGCTAGACAGATTTCTGAGTTTGTTTTTTTTCGGAACTTTCAGTTCCAGCATGTAAATTGGTGATTGAAAGTGTATCATGTTCCATGTCATTCTGTTTCTTGTGAAATTGCTAACTTGAGTTCCCCGTATGATACAGGTGCTTTGGCCTGAATGCGGCTGGCAGCCTGTTTCATTGACAGATTTAATTATTGGTTCCTCTGTCAAAAAAGCTTATAGAAAAGCTACACTTTGCATTCACCCTGACAAGGTGCAACAAAAGGGTGCTACCCTCCAGCAGAAGTACATTGCTGAAAAGGTCTTTGACCTGCTTAAGGTATCGTACAAGCATCTGCTTTTATTGGATTATCTTTTTGGCTTTATAATTGTACATGCAAAATTTTCTCGAGTGTTCAGCGAAAAAAACCGGTGAAATAGGAAAAACGGTGCAAAATTTTCTCGAGTTTGGACATAATTTATTATCAAAAAAACATGCGATCAGTATATTTCTTTTTATTTTCCTTTTTTTTTTTCCGACGAGGGTGTTCTCTGTTAATTTGGACTTTATATGCAAATAGGAAGCCTGGAATAAATTTAACTCAGAGGAGCTGTTCTAAAGGCTGTCAGAAGTTCGTCATCTAAGCTGCTGCCTCAAAGTGAACCGTTTGACGGGGTAACACATAGCTTGGTCCAGAAGAAAATATGAGCAAGATGGACCAATGCTGCGTGTGTGCAATTTTTTTGGGTGTTTGAAAGTGCGAGGAATGTAAAGAAACCTCTGCTCTGCTGAATGTTTGAACGGTTTGTACATGTTACACCCGACTGTATATTTGATGTCCATGCTCGAGATACAAGTGATGCAAAACTTAATCGATTTCCTAGTACAGAATACAAGTTGTTTTGATATCTCGCGGTGCTGTATAACGGTTAATCACCCGTACACTCGTGAGGTGATTATCTTGTCCTTGTCAGATTCACCTTCTTGTACTTGTTACTATTTGTTTGTCCAGTCACCCAATTCGTTCATCTCAGGTGAATACGTTTTTGTTCAAAACATGAAAATATCAACTGCACCATGTGCTAATCATGGTTGCGATTTATAAGGTGTATTGCTTGTTCAATTATATGATATTCTGGTTCATACCCGATTATTTTGCTTCTTCGGTTAATTTGGGGAGTTGCGATTGCCCTCGTCTTGTTAGTGCTGTTGGACCTTTAATTAGTTTGGATAGTTAGAATTGGAAAGCTTTGTATATTGTTAATTGTCTTTTAATATGATAAACATAGAGCATAGCAGTTTAACACGGTATTCGTGTATATAAATCCCTTTTTATGTAGTAAGACCATGCTATAAGGTCATTTGTTCATTTGAAAATAAAAAACACAACTGCCTTAGTAAGTGATGGTTTCTCGAATAAGCAAACATCAACTACCAACTACATACACCAGAAAAGGTAACTACCAACTACCTTAAGGCCGAAAGAATTGCCAATTTTATTCAAGGTTCGACTTTCAGTTTATCAAAGCATTCGTGGAGTTTGTCACCAAGTTAATATTTGTACAGGTATTTTAGGTGTGTATCACTGCACTGTACGTCCCTAAAGAAACTAGTATGATTACAGAAAATTTACTAGGTCAAAAATTGAAAATCCGAGCACCAAAGACGGGTTCTTTTCACGATCCTCTTGAAATAGAGAGAAGCCCATATGCAGGACCTAATTGCTAGGTGACAGGCTATAGTACTATCTCGAACATATTGCAGCCTTGGCACTTAATGTATAGTGCAGTCAGATCAAACTTAGAATCGACGCAGAAATCGGGTTTCAACCTGCATCCCTTATCAAGATGCTCTGTGTGAGCTTCACCCAGCCTCACCCGTAGAGTGTTCAAATCTACCTGAGATCAGGAAAAAGATACTCGAGAGTTAGTGCAATGGCAATATAAGGATGATGCTTTCTCACAGAAGTCTGAATTTGTTTTATGAAACTAGTTCTAATATTTCTTTATCGACAAACATGAAGCTCAATATACTAGCAATTTAAAGCATATATTATGTCGTAGATTGGACAAAAGTCTAAATATAATACTAGTGAAATTGCAAAATTTGATGGATTAATGAACTCTACAAACAAAAACATGCTTGATTTGATCTGTGATAAACCTAACGAGGAGAGAGAGAGAGAGAGAGGGGGACCTCGTGGTCTCTGTTTAGCTTGACTTTGCACTGACTGCAATAAATATGATGGCTATTTTCCTGTAACTTCCCTTGTTTGCAGATGGGACACCAAACCTCCTCCGCGACCTATATAGCATAATGAAGATCAGTAAGAAGTTATTTTTCCTTTGGAGTAGGTAATATCGAAGATTTGAACAAATACATGCTATATTTACTTTACATACTAACGATAAATAGATGGGGAAAAAACAAGCAAAACTAGACCCCATAAAATCGTTCTAGCTTAGCCCCCTAAATCCATTACAGAAAGCATGACATGAACGACTCATTCCTTAATTTAAACGAAACTAAAAACAAGCGAACAACCTGCAGTCTTATAAAAGGCAAGAAACAGACAAAAAAATATGGCGATATTATTACCACTCAACCCCACGAACAAGATTTTTAATGCCTAGCACAAGTCTCGCATCATACAAGAGTCATGAACCCTCATGCAAAAGGACAGTACAACACCTTTTCATTCAAGAGACGTGCATCTAACCAACTGTAGGACCAAACAATTTGCTCCCTTCTCACAAATCATTCATTTTAAGGACATCCATGTATAAAACTCATTTCCTAACATACGATTCTCTAGGCACGAGTTTCTAATTTTTATGTTAGATGCTACAGTGACATAATTCACATTTTCACCACACAAACTCGTGTGTCAGACACAAATCAAATGAGTAGAGCTATAACCCTCACACTGAACAAAGTAAGAAATTCTAAAAGGAAACTTAAACTTCAGTGGCGGCGGACCTGATCACTATTGAGCTGCATGTGATCAAATACTACACGAGCCAAGTATTCGTCTTCTTCATCCTCCCATGCTCTGATAAAATCATCTGCACCTGCAAGGAGCTAACAGTAAATCTTACATTCAAAGGAAAATTAATGCAACTCCATCATCAAAAAATAAAAAAATAAAAAAATTTCGACTTCATCATCACAATAATGCAAACAATTTCAAACTTCATCAATATTCAATGTATTTAATTTAACCTTTTTTAGTTTCCTCTGTCCTAAGATCTTCATAAAACACTCTTTGCATTGCTAGTAACATATCTTCACAGTCGCCTTGATAAGCTGTATGTAGACCGTCATATTCCCATATCATGTCATCAGTCGCTGCGCCAAAGATTGGAGCCGAACCTTCAACCGGAGATGAACCCTTGATTTTTCTCAGTTCATCGGAAACTATATCCTGGAGAGTTGATTTGATGAACTCCTGCAACCAGAACGTTAACTCTCGTTAAAAGAAACGCAGAACACAGAAGTAACATAATCAATAACCCTACAACAAAAACACTATTACTACAACAGCTTAAATTCCAAAATTCCTCTGAATGATTCCTCTTCGAAAGGGGGTAATACATACATGAATATCATTTAATTAGCAACTATGTATTTCTTCAGCCTTTCAAATGAGAGTAGACGAAAACTATTCATTTCTCTAATAAATTATCCAAAAAATCCCAGACAATTACCCAATTGCAATGAAAAAAAGAAAGAAGAGAAACATGAAATTGGACCTCGTTATTGGAAAATTTAGCTTCGGGTAATCTCAATTTCCAAAGCAAACGCGTTCGATCCTCGCGAACTCTTTTGAGGCAATTTTCTCGGAGCTGCAATTCATTCACAGCAGACAAAAATTCAACACATAAAAACAACGAACGCAATAACATTTTTTTGTAATTAATCATCAAATTTAGAGTATGTATGTACCTTGTGTTTCCATTTCGGATAATTATTGAGCGAAGCAAGGGATTTTAGCGAAGGGCGGCAATTTTGTATTCCTCTTTTCTCATCTCCCACCATTTTCACTTTTTCTGCTACCCTTTCTAACTGTGTGTTGGTGCCCACCGATATATGTTATAATTAACTTTGGGGCTAAAGCACTATAATTAACTAATTGAAGGGGTGAAGTGCTATTGAATAATGTTTAGGGCAATAGTACTAAAATATGAACATTAAGGGGGTGAAGTGCAATTTACATATAATTAATAGACTTTGTTTGACGAATAATCGAAACCCTCGTCGTTTCTCTCTCTAACTTTCTCTCTCATTAGCTCGGCCAGGGAATAGCAGTAATAGGAGTTAGCCGATCGCTCTCGTTCACCCTTCATTTGGAGTTAAATTCCCGGAACCGAGCAATTGAATCCCGGTAAAAAAAAATTGAGGGAAAAGAAGTACTTTTTTTGTAATTCAGAGTACAGCCACCGTCGTGGTGGTTTTGTTGGTGGAGGTGGTGGTGGTGGCGGTGAAGTAGAAGAACTCAATTCATAATGCTGGAAAACCCTAGCTCGGATTCAGCAGCCGCTGCCGCCAGCATCGCCACCGTCAAGCGATACGCTCCTCCCAATCAACGGTACTGACATCGGTTTCTCATTTTCTCTCTATGTTCGTGCATTTTTTAATTTTTTTTTTTGGGTTTTTTTTTTTGAGAAATATTGAGATAATTTGGGGGATTGGTTGATTTTCGTGCAGGAATCGGTCACTTGGTAGGCGTAAATCTGGAGGAGGTAAGTTTATGTATACAAAAGGGTTGCTTAATCTAGGCGCACTTTCTTTTAATTAAGTTTTTGGTTAAAATTCTTTTAGTTTTATGGTTTTATTGCAGTTATTAGAATTGTTTGGTATCTAAAAATTTGTAGTTAATTCCGCGTGAGTCGTGTACTGCTAATAGCTGAATTAACTTAATTGCAAAGTTTCCTCATTTGGTCATTTAAGTTCTTGATCTTCATTTTCTTGATTATTGGCTGTCAATTACTAGAAATGCTGACATCAGATAGTTTGGTTGCTTCTTGATCAAATTTTGCTTTACTTGTGTTCTTAAGACCCGAAAGTATCACAGCTTTAGCTTTGCTCTTTGACAGCTTCAATATTTTTGAGTTGAACTTGTGTCACATTAAACATTTCAATGTTGTTGTTATTTTTTGTTAGGATAACATTTAATTGACATATAAAATATGAAATTCAAATCAAATTATCACTTGCCTTGAACTAAACTTGACCAGAGGGGCTAAACAGATAACAATCCGACATTTATTATTTCCCAGAAGTCAGAAAATCAATTAGAATATTATTCTTTCTTTATCTCATTGATAGCAAGTAAAGGACTGTATCCGAAAAGGATGGTTTGTTACCTGCATGAACTGGGGTTAGAGAAGAGAGAAATCCAACAGGGAGATGATGGTAGAGACTAGAGTGTACTAATTTGTTGGCTGCACATGATAAAGGAGCATGCCGGGATGTACTATATTTTGGTATTCTTTTCTTGTTCACAGAAGCAGGGGAAGCATGTACTATCCCCCCAAGTATATCCCAACAACTTCTTCTTACCTCATTCTATTGTCATATAAAAGAGACAGTTGATTCGAAAAGAGTGATTCAATTTAAGCGCTTTCTGTGAAATCTATTTTCTTCTTCGATAATGGAATAGGTGGGGATTTCTTAATAACTAAGTGTATAGAACTGTTCAATGTATTTCATGCATGACGAAGGAAGCTGCAGAATTTAAAATATCAATTTGATATTATGTACATTTGCTCATGTTTGGAAAAAATCATATGTTTAAGATGCTTCTTGGATCCATAGGTCAACTCGTATACTGGTTTTGTCGTCATTCGTGTTCTTCTTTTTCATTTTAATAACTTAATTGTGCAGATCGACTAGAACGGGCAAACAGCTATGTGAATGATGGGGAGAGGATTCCTGTTGCTGCCACCAAAAGTGGTCCTATAGCAGATCATGGGGATTCTGGTTACAACAGTCGTGCCCATGAAAGTCTTCGTGTTAAGTTAATACCTTTACACGGGTGTTGCAACAGTGAAGCTTCTCAGCTTCTGGTTAACCGTATGTTTCATATACTTTGCATTTTTTCTTTAAGTTATATCTCTGCTCTATATTTTATTCCAAGGACCTATTGAGATCTATTAAATGAGCTCATTGATATACCAAACATCTCTCTCCTTGTTCCGACCCTTTTAAGGTTGGAATTAAGATTGATGCTATGGATATTAGATGAAGTTTTCTAGGACAAATTAAATGAAAAAAACCAACACTGGCAACCTCCAGGTCCTGTAAATAAGTCTAGTGTTTGCTGAATCGTAAGGAAATCTCCAGCATTACCACTCTTACCTAGAAGCACTATTCATGTATTCCTTTTGTTTACTTTTTGTATTTTATTTTTAAATTTGTTTTTAACTTCTAATTGTTTAGACATTTATTGCCCAAAAACTGGCCCGATTTTTACTAGTTGAGTATGGGTTACCTGGCATTGGGTCTGGACCTAATTACCCAAATTCAGTTGCCCACCTCTAGTGGAAGAGGGGCTCAAAGGTGTACAATTGTTGACACTAGTAAATAGAATGTTTCAGTTTCATTGCATACCAAAGTTGCTTCAACAATTCTTTTTACTTGGAATGTAAAAGTTGAAACTGAATTTTGTTCCATTTATGATTTTTTTATATTTGCACTAATAATAAACAAGCTTTACCTGGGTTTCTTTTTGTGCAGGTTGGGCTGTTGTCATGAATGCACACAACAGTTTGCCAGAAGATTCGTCCGGTAAGTATAAGAACCGTTGAGTATTTCATATCATTAGGTTACTTCAATATTTTCGGGTCCTCTCTGACCTTTTATATGTCACGAGGGAAGCTGAGTCGGGCAACTTCCAGTAGCAATGTGAATTATTTGAACTCAACTGTCTGTTATTCATGCATTTAGTTAATTAGTCTTCTTATGGTACCATTATTTGAAGTCTCCGTTAGTGCCAACTTTTTAGAGAACTTTAACATATACTCTCTCTATAAGTTCCGTCAAGTCTCGTTGTGTATATACTTGTTAAATATCGTGAACACCTGTTTTGACAATTTAGATCTTCTAGTTATAATAATAAGGCAATTTATCTTTGTGTGGAATTGTACGAGTTGGTCTATTTCAGTGGAATTTATGTACTTTCTTGTTATGTTTACCAGAAAAGCCAGTTGTGTATACAAAGAAGAGTACGTCGTCCTGGGGTCAAGCAATTCTTCCGCATCTGGTATGACAGATGTTTTCTTGCAATTCACGATCCTACCACCATAAAATGAAAAAATAAAATAATGTATCAAAAAACCAAACTAATAAAGAATAAAACAAACAAAGAAAAAACAGAATTGTTTCTCATATTCTCTCTTTGATATTGAATTTTTCATTTCTTTCCTACAGATGATTCAGCCTAGTGGTGGGGCGAGAGATTTTCTGGGCGAACTCCGAAAGGCGATGCACAATGCTAATTCTGGTCCCAATGTGTAAAACGGTGCTCTTAACTTAAAACACAATAAACCTGAGTTTTGATGGATTAGAGATCTTTTGGGCTGTATGATTACAGTTTATGATTTGTTGTATGTGCTCGTTACACGATATGCCGTACAGTTTGTTCCAGTATAATTTATTCGCCAGACGCAAGAATCTTTTAGTGTCGATATTGTGTGCTTCTGTATGTGATTATTAGTGAGGTACTTGTCCTAGGCTACGTTTTTAACTTGTGTGTTCTTGGCCTGGTCCAAAATTCGGTAGTCGAGGAATATTTATTTTCTGACAGCATAGTTTTTTGTTTTCATTAAACGTGCAAGATTTAAATTCGTATACTCTATTGAGATATTAACAATCGAAATATAGGTGTGAAGAAAACAATTGCAGGTAAATAATAATATTTCTTAATTATGAATATATGATTTACAGGAAGGTGAAACAACACACAGCAGGAGGTGAAAAAAAACACATTAGTCTGTCCAGACAGGAATAATTCCTTGAGCAGCCAAACGCTTCTCAATCCAGAAAACAACAAATTTAGCAGTAGGTTTCTTCTCATCAACCAGAAATGGCTCCACTGTGCTCACTCCTGTACCATATGAAGATATAGAGAAACCCTTTGCCCCTGTCGATTATACCAACGTTATTCCCCCTTTTTTTTACTCGAAAAACGAATCAAAAGGGTAGCTGAAAAAGATTTTTAAGAGTACATAAACGTACCGGTGATGGTTCCATCGGGAAAGAATGCCCAAAATGAATATGGAATTCCCTTCTTCATAAATGATCCTTCCAACTGCAAAATGATTTTTTTTTTTTTTAATAAATCTAATGCAGTGATTCTGTCTGTGAAATAATTTGTAAGTCGAAAGCGTATCGAACCTGATTCTCGTTGAACGAAAGTTCGAGGCATGATAAATCTTGTTGAGCTTCTAAAATTGATTTGAGTGGAGGGATGATTTCGTCTGCCATCAACTCAGGCAGAGGCTTCATAGGAGCTTTTGCTGCAGCCTTTGGCTTAGCAGCAGCAGTTTCTTCGTCTGCCTTTTTCACTTCTTTTTTCTCCTTCGTTTCATCAGCAACTGATTTTAACAATCATTATACATATATAATATAATATATATGTATAATTCAAGAATATATAGATTTCACATCATATGGAGAAAAAAAGAACATGATACATCTGTGGAGATCACACCTGTGGATGTAGATGATTCTTGAACTGCTAAGCAACAGGTTTTGTGCCGTTTGTTCGCTACATTAAAAACCTGAAAGAATAAACCTGGTTAATTCCAATGATAATTCTTGAAAAGAAAAAAAAAAGCAATCGAAGAAATACCAGTGATAACGATGATGGTGTTGAAGGTCTGGCTTTCTGGCAGAAATACGAAGAAGGGCAGCTGAAAACGGCTACGGATCCTCCGGTTGCCATTTTCTCGACTTACACTTTGTATCGACTATCTATAATAACTATCTTTTCTTCAATCAATTAAGCATTCATTTTAATTAATTTTCCAAATTTTTGTTTTTTCTTTTTCAGTTTGAGCTAGTTACAAACTGCTAAGCTGCAACATGGAAGAAGCTTCTATTATCCACACCTTGGTTCATTGCATGCTTGCCACTGATTTTTCAAGCTCAAAAGATTGAATAATTTTTATTTTTTTTTTCCTATTTTCAGTTTTTATGTGAAGGACCACTTACTGGGGCAGTACAAGAGTGATAACTGATGAGTGAATCAGGGGCCCAAAATTGGCCACGTGGCACCCTTTTGGATTGTTACATATAGACAAACTAGGGAAAAGATTGTCTGCTCCCAGAATTAATAAATCAAAACTTCAAAATTTCCAGTTTATATACTAAATAAGTAACGCTCCATAGTTTTACATACCGAATTAGATATCAAATACATTACGAATGGATGACAACGAGGAATAATCATCACATAACACATCTTCCAGTCAGTAAACTATATGTGAAGTCTAACGTTTCTCGACCGACGTTGATAAATAACCCATGATTCGAACTAGTGAAGGCTTTCCGGGACTGTGAGGCACGTAATGGAGAAGTTCCTTAGAAAAGAAAAAAGAAGGCTCGGTTGGTAAAAAATTGGAAATAACATTTAGAATCTGAAATAGTTGTATGCAGTGGTACTAATGTTTACCTTAGTAGCAAAAAATGTAATGAAAGTAGTGAAAGTGTAGCATCGAGCCGACAAAACAAATCGTTTTTGTTTTAGGTTTTCCCACAAAATGAAGCCACCTTTCTTTAAGCGAACCATTTCAGCAAAAAGAGTTATCAATCTTTCGTCAGCAATTCAGATTTCACTGCTCGATTTGGATCTTTTTTCTTCTTTCTTGTTTTTACAGGGACTGAATTGGGCCCACTCTGCTTGAATTTCTCAACCATGGTACAAACCTGCATTTTACAATTTTCAGTAGCAAAGTAATGAAAGCGCAAAAGTTGTAAAAACGAACTTTGAATGGGCAAATCGAGAATGCTAAAAATAACATTACCTTCCTAACTCCAGATGTCAACCCCAAAGTTGAAAGGGCCTTATCGTCAACAAACTTCCACTTCATAGTTGAGCTCTCTTGCTTCTTATGTAGACAATTCATTCCACCTTCTGTTAATGTAGAAAAAGAAAGAAAAAAAAAACTAATCTGTGAGAAACTATGTTTTGAACGATTTCTAACTCAGTTTTTCGGATACTTCAGTTAAGGGTTGACTAGTGCATAGACCTGTCAATTGCAAAATCAACAACTCTATGTACATCTTGAGACGAATGTGAGTAAATACATGGACACATTCTCCCACTTCTTCCCTCGAAACTACTTTACAGGACTTTTTCGTGTCTATACCAAATGATTGTTTCAAGAAACTATCAATTGCCTTCCTCCTTGAGGCCAAGTCAGCTTCTCCCACCAATAAAACAGACGGAAATTCCCATAGTCCAGCCAGCAACCCTTCATCCGGTCTCTTCACAAGAAGGTATCTGCTTTTAGATTGAGATCCCTCATCGACTATCTCCACAACACTCACAGCAGAGAAATCGTGCCTTGGTTTGGCCTTCGCGACCTTCATTGGATAGTCTGTGACTTGAACGGATTCTTGTTTTCTAGAGAGAGAAAGTGCTTGACACTGATGGGATACAGGACACGTGGAGCAGCTGGGAGATGTAACACTGCATGCTGTCGCACCGAGTTCCATGATAGCCTGGTTGAAATCCCCGGGCCTCAGAGGATCAACTAACTGCCTCGCCAGTTTCCTATGCATGAAAATATAAAACAATCAAAATACTGTAAACAATAGGGATTGATAGTTGTTCAGAAAACATGTGCTACTACTGGAATCCATCCATCCACATGCTACTAAGATCCATCTAATTTGAAATCCATCTATTCTAAAATACAAACCTAAATCCATCCACATGCTACTAAGATCATTTAAAAACCGAAATCAGCAAATCCAATCATAAACATTAATAAGGCAATCAAATCTAGTAATAATCTAACCATATATTCTTGACTGTTGCTGCATTTTTTGGATTGGCAGATATAGCCTTCAACCTTGTAATGACTCTGATTACGTTTCCATCTACCACCGGCACTGCCTGAATAATACACCTCTATTACTTAACCACCAAAGAGGCTAGTATCAAGAATAAGGTAAGAATATCCACCACTAACCTCGTCAAAGGCAATCGATGCAATTGCTCCGGCAGTGTATTTACCAATTCCTCTGACCATTTCAAGATCTGTTGCTGTTTTTGGGAACTCGCCGCCGCCTTCAACAACCATTTGAGCTCCCTACAGAATGTTATAATAGGTAATAACATGACGTACTAGCAAAAATCCGTAATAAGTTTGCTATTTGAATGTTAATCCTTTTGTTTCCCCAGCCCACAATATAAGGTAAAAGAAGTCAAGATGCTTCGATCAAACTTACAGTTTCTCCACAAGAAACTAGCTACATTTACCAAACTAAACTATTCCCGTGATTCGTGAAAACGGTTATCCTAGACTAAATCCATAGAGGTATTACTGCTAATCAAACTTTTATAGAGAATCAAAACTGTAACTTAATATAACATTAGCTACAAGTCCAGAGAAATTAAAGCTGACCTCAAGCAAAAATCGGGCCCGTCGATAGTAACCCAAGCCCGCCCACATCTCATTCACCTCCTGCTCACATAATACAGCAGAAATATCAGTCATTTCAGTTAGACAAAGGAATACAAATCTTTCAAATTAATAGTTAAGGGGAGGGAAATTTCATACTTCAATAGAAGCCTGAGCAAGATGATGAATCGTAGGCCATTTCCCCATCCAGCGATTGAAGTAATCAACCACAGTTTGAACCCTAGTTTGCTGAAGCATCACCTCAGATACCCAAACCGCGTACGCTCTCTTCTCCCTCTCTTCGACACCGACGTCATTTCCGCCATTGCTGATTCTTCTCCAAGGTAAATCCCTTCGATTCTCGTCGTACCATTCCAGCAGAGACTCCCTGATTTTTTGAATCTCCTTCCCTCTGAAACTGATATCCTCTATGTCGACAGGTTCCACCGTCGATTTGATTCTGGTGGATTCCTCCTTCCGGCATCTCTTCATCGTTGATGCGGCGGTCGGCGGCGGCGGCGGCGGCGGTGAGCGGTGGTGCCGGCCGGCGAAATTTGAAATAATGAGTGGTGAGTGTAGTTTACCCGCTAAATAGTGGGTCATGAATTTTATGAAAATATTTGAATTTGATTTAATTATTTATTTAACTTTTGAGCGATTTTAAGTTTAAACTTAAAAAAATTATGAACAACCAAAAATAAATAGGGGTGCCCGTCGAAAGTGGGAACCGCATTTTTTCGAAATCGCTAGTTTCGAACGGAATTTTCCGATTTCAGAACAAATTTCTTTATTCTGATATACAATATTCCGATTTCCAATTTTTTTCGAGTTTCTTTTTTTTGTGAATTTGAATTGAAATTATATATATTTATTTTTGAAAATTCCATTTTTCAATCCAATTTTAATTATGTGAAAATAATTCCAATATTTTCCAAATTATTTTATATTATATATTATATATTACATTTGTATGTTTTAACTCGTTAAACAAATACAATTTATTTATGATTTGTTAGAAATTTTCGAATATTGTTCAATTAAATTCCAAATATTTCCAATTAAATTTACGAATATTGTGATTTTTTAGTTAAAAGACTAATACAAGTGTGATTAAGTCAACATGGGCCTAAAAATAAAATAGAACTATTTATACTGTTAATTCAAAGCCTAATTCAAAGCCTATTTTTTATACCTATGGCGGTACAGTAGTTTCTGAATTCTGATTTTCTTTTTTTAATTAATAATTAATTTACCTCCGCCGCCACCGCCACCGCCACCGCCACCGCCGCCACCGCCGCCGCCGCCGACGGCTCTATGATAGAACCGATGGACAACGGAAACAGGAACTCCGGGGTAATTTTCTTTTCAAATTCACTGGCGATAATTACTCGTAAACCCTGATTTCAATTTCGATTCGATTCCCAATTTTACCGACTCTTCAAAGAATTTTTTTTTTTTTGTAATTTTTATTTATTTTTATTTATGCAGTTAATTAGCTAAAGCTTGAATTTCTGAGCTTGAATATTTAGCCAAAGATTCAATTTTTCAAATGCAGATAGCCGAGGGGAATTGCAATTACGTACCTGTGAAAAGCCCTAGCCCTAGCCCCCCTTATGATTTCAGGAGATGCAAAGAGAGTTCAACGAATCTACTAGATTCTCTGCCAGACGAATTGTTGTTCAACATTCTCGTACATCTCCCAGCCGAAGATATTTACGATCACGCCATGCTCGTTTGCCGCAAGTGGTACCGTATGATCCGTACCCGTTACTTTGTACACGAACACCTTCAGCACTCGACTCCGGGGCTCCTCCTACACAATTCTCGTAATAAAACTACTAGCTTCGCGGCGATGAGACGAGGCCGGATTGAGTTATCCGAGTGCAGTTACACGATCAGAGCATACGAAGGATGGGATAGCTGTAACGGTTTGATCCTCGAGTATTATTCATTCGAAGGGACTCTTGGTTTTCATATTATAAATCCCGCAACAAGGAAAATATTTGAAATCCCTCGATTTTCTCCCCAAGGAACGACGATCGACCACCGCTGGGGTATAGCGTATTCGGCTGCTTCCGGTGAGTATAAAGTGGCTCGCACTTATGCAAATAAAGTTGACGACGAGGACGACGACGACGACGATTTGCAGTACGTTGTCGATATAGTGACGGTTGGAGTTGACGAGTCTTGGAGGTGCGTTTGTACGCAACACTTGTCTCCCGAGTCGAAGGTTCTCCTCGGCAAAGACTCGGTTACCACCGAAGGTTTTATCCATTACATGAATAGTTTCGACGACAATCGTGTCCTGACTTTGAATGTAGAGACTGAAACTATTACGGAATATGCCATCCCTCAGGGTCTCGATTATAAATTTAGATGTTGTTTGTCGACGGGAAAATCTTTATCTATGTTAGGTAAATGCGGTGAGGAAAATTATTGGGAGGTTTGGGAAATGAAATCGGAAACCGGAGAGTGGACCGAGATGTACAGCATTGACTTGGAAGCTCACAAGTGCAAATTGGAAGAATTGTACGGTAAAAAGGACAAGGGCTCCGGTATTATCGTACCGATGGGTTGGTTGAAATACCATGAGGTGGTGATCTTGCGTTTTCTACATTCGGCTCGGTTTCACATTGCTTACAATGTTCGTACGCATGAAATCAACTCGTTGGAGTTGGCTTGTGATTCTTTTAATCCTGCTTTTAAAGTCCATACAAATAGCTTGGTAGGGTTGGTTTGAACTTCACTTTAGTTCTTCTAGTCGTACATTTTTCGATGGTTTATTATTTATCGTTACCGTTATATATATTTTTTTTCTGCACAACAGTTTTCGGTCGAAACTTGATAATTGCTACTACTATATTTGCGGTGATCATCTGAATAATTGACTAGATATAAATCGGGAAATCGATACTCGTTGACATGAATTTAAAAATACTAACTATGGTGTTATCGAGATCTTTATATAAATTTGATTCAAGAAATATGAAATTATGTTACAACCAACATCGCAAGGTATTTGTTAGTTCGATGGTTGTGAATCGGACGGACGGGATCGAAAATCATACATTGGACCTTAAAGTTATCTTAATATTTGTTAGTTCGATGGTTGTGGCTGTAATTACTTATACTACATGGACCTTAAAGTTATTTTAGTATACCTCAGGGGTGTGCATGTAATTTACCAAAAAAATGCCTACGTAGAGGGTCAGGCGTGGTAATAGAAGTCAACTGTCATAAATTTACACAACACCATGCATGCCTATATATACACACATACATATAAATTACGCCCGTTCACCTTCCACTATAATCGATCACCATGCATAATATATAAGCAATTAAATTAAGTAACTAATTACCTCGTACGAAACAAAAAAAATCATTAATTAATGGGCTAAATACAGTTTGCACCCTTAAAGTATAGGGCTGGTAACACTTACCCCTTAAAGTTACAAATGTAACACTTGCCCCCCTCATTAATGAATTTAATAATAAAACTTTGACTTTGAATGATGTGGCATTTTTTCTTCCCAAATTATCCTTCTAGCCATTATATTAATGCAAATAATAATATATTTTCAATAATATTTCAAAAACTAAATTTTATAAAATGTAATAATTATTAAAAAAATATTTTGATTTTTGTTTAACCCCACATTTTAATTACTATAGACCCTAATATAAATAAAAATCTCAATATTTTTTAAAAAATATTTAAAATACGTTAAACATTTGCAAGAAAAAAATAATTTCAAGACTTAAACGTCCAATTTTTTTATAATAATTATTGATTTGAAAATTTATTTCAGTTACTTAAATATAAATTTCAATAAAAAAATATTTAAATATTTAGACGTTTAAATTATGATTTCTTATTAACTTTTGAATACATTTTGTGATTCTCAAAGTAAAAAGTCGGATGATTATATTAGAGTCATATACGCATTAATATAACTATATAAACTATAAAATTATTATTAAAATTCGAATAATTGTTTAACTTTTTATTAGCTACAAATGAACACAAGGTAAAACAAAAATGAAACTAAAATTCAATTTTTTTCATTCGTAAATTTACAATATTGAAATAATAAAATTAAGTTTTTGCAAAGTTACCGAATTTTTTATTATTACATATTCATTATTTATATAATTGCTAGAAGGATAATTTGGGAAGGAAAAATGGCACATATTCAAAGTCAAAGTTTTACCTTTAAATTCATTAATGAGGGGGATAAGTGTTACATTTGTAACTTTACGGGGTAAGTGTTACCACCCCTATACTTTAAGGGTGCAAACTGTATTTAGCCCTTAATTAATCCTTAAAAAAAACATGTCTGGTGACGATCAATCCGGTAATAACAGCAACACACAAGCAGTAGTCAGCGGTCAAGAAGTAAGTTCGAGTACTAATAATAAGGCTTTACGACGGTATGACTCGTCGGAGGACATAGAATTCGGCCGGCGGTACAGCCACGGCGGCGCCGCGGCGGCAGATGGAGGGGGGTGGGGAGTCCTGGCACAGCTGGCGTTTCAGAGCATCGGAGTGGTGTACGGAGACCTCGGAACGTCGCCGTTGTACATGTTCCCGGGGATCTTCAGTAACGGGATCAAACACAAGGACGATATTCTCGGAGTTTTGTAGTTAATTCTGTACACGCTTATGTTATTGCCTGTCGTCAAGTACGTGTTCATCGTCTTGCGTGCAAACGACAATGGCAATGGTAATGTCATATATATATAATATAATTCCATTTTTTTTCGAAGTCTTTTGTATCGGAACTGGAGTACATATATGAGATTCCGATTTCTGATCCGATTTAAATTTTTTGAATTTTTTTGATTTATTTTTGAAAATTACACTTTATAATGTTCTGGCTACGCCATTATATATATATATATATATATATATATATATAATTGATTTAGTGATTTTCATTTATATATACAAAAATGAATATAATTCATTAGGAGGGACGTTTGCGTTGTATTCACTGGTATGCCGACATGCGAAAGTGGGATTGCTTCCGAGTGAAGAGGTGGAGGATCAAAACATCTCTACGTTCGATAATAGCGCGCAAAGAGCTTCGAAACTTAAATCGAAGCTCGAAAAAAGCGCTTTCACCAAGTACTTGTTATTCGCCACCATGCTTGGAACTTCCATGTTGATTGGAGATGGTGTGCTTACTCCATGTATCTGATCAGGTACATTAATACATTTTTCTTCTATTATATATTAATTAATCTTAATTATTTGAAATTCTGAAATATAAAATTTAAATTAATTTGTTTCGTGTATGTTCTTCGAAGTACAGTATTATCGTCTATGTGGGTGGACTCAAATCAGCTACAAATTTTATGACATAAGGTATGAATGAGTAACCTACTTCGAATTTTTTATTTTTTATTTTTGATTTATAAACTTCTTGTTTCTTTTCTGAATTTATATTTTTTTTTGTTGTTAAAAAACAAACACAGATAGAATCGTTTGGACGTCGGTTGGAATATTAATATTCCTGTTCATGATTCAAAGATTTGGAACCGACAAAGTCGGGTACACTTTTGCGCCAGTTCTAACTGTGTGGTTCTTTTTCATTTCCGCGATTGGTATCTACAATATAATGCATCACGACCCTCTTGTCATCAAAGCCGTAAACCCGAAATACATTGTCGAATATTTCGTGAGGAACAAAAGTGATGCGTGGATTTCTCTTGGTGGTGTTGTTCTTTGTATAACAGGTGAATACTTACACTCATCGCGTGATCGCATGCATGCATGCGCGTGTCTATTTTAGGGTTTCGTAATTAAACGAGCTCTGAGGTTTATATATTTTTGCAACTTAATTATTTTGCAGGAACTGAAGCATTATTTGCTGACGTCGGCCACTTCTCCGTGAAAGCAATACAAATAAGCACGTTCGGTCTCGTTTACCCGTCAATCATTATAGCATACATCGGACAAGCTTCTTATCTTCGCAAGAACACGTCCCATGTTGACATGGCATTCTATGCTTCTATCCCAGGTTTTTCTTTTTCTTTTTTTCTTCTAAACTATTATGACATATGATTATAATTAAGTGGAAATTAATTAAACATATGAAAAATGAATGTACTATATTCAGGACCAATGTACTGGCCAATGTTTGTGATAGCGGTGTTGGCATCGATAATCGCAAGCCAATCGTTAATCTCGGCCACATTTTCGATAATCCAACAATCCCTCTCGCTCGGCTGTTTCCCACGTGTCAAGGTGGTGAACACGTCAGCAAAGTACCCGGGACAGGTGTACATCCCGGAGATAAACTACCTCCTCATGCTTGCATGCGTGTTCGTCACGCTCGGGTTTCGGAACACGATCACCATAGGCAATGCCTACGGAATAGCCGTGGTTTCGGTCATGGTGCTCACTTCCGCGTACCTAGTCCTAATCATGATCTTGATATGGAAAACCAACGCGCTCCTCGTACTCCGCGTACGTCTTCACGATTCTGGCGCTCGAGCTAGTTTACCTGAGCTCGGTTCTCTACAAGTTCGATCAAGGAGGGTACTTGCCCCTCGCGTTCGCCGCGTTCCTGATGACGATCATGTACGTGTGGAACGACGTGCATAGGAAGAAGTACTACTTCGAGCTCCAGAACAAGATCTCTCCAGAACAAGTGAAGGAGATCGTGGAAGCTTCTAGAAGATTGCCGGGGGTAGCGTTTTTCTACTCGGAGCTCGTGCATGGAATCCCGCCGATATTCAAGCACTACGCGGAAAACGTGCCCGTGATCCACTCGGTTCTTGTCTTTGTTTCGTTCAAGTCTTTGCCGATAAGCAAAGTGCTGTCGGAAGAAAGATTCCTTTTCCGGAGGGTGCGACCGAAGGATCTACAAGTGTTCCGTTGCGTCGTACGTTACGGGTACAAGGATGTTGTGAGAAACGAGGAGGAGACGTTGTTCGAGAGGACGCTGGTAGAGAGCTTGAAGGAGTTTGTTAAGAGGGATGAGGAAGTAGTTGATGAGGTTTATATCGAGGAGTTGGAGAAGGCGTGGCGGTGCGGGGTGGTGCACATGGTGGGGGAGCAAGAGGTGGTGGCGGCGAAGGGGGCAAGTATTGTGAAGAGGGTGATGATTGATTATGCATATGATTTCTTGAAGAAGAATTTGAGGCAGAGCAACAATGTGTTTCATATTCCTACCAAGAGGATGCTTAAAGTAGGGATGACTTATGAACTCTATAGAATTCTTTGCAAATAATTTATTTATTTATTATTTTTCTAAGAAATTCATGTTTAAAATAAATTAGACGATGCAGAGTCGCAAACACAAGAAATTAGATGTTACACCTGGTTATTTACATTGGGTGGATTTAAACCGTAAATGAGCACATAATCACAAACCGGTAGGTAGGTAGCTAGTCTTTAAAAACAAACCAAAATCCAGGGCTATTTGTATTTCTTTCCCTACTGGTACAAGATGCTATAGAAAATTTTCGGATTTTGATTTTTTTAGTGAATATAATATAATATATATATATATATATATATATATATATATATATATATATATATATATATATATATATATATATATATATATATATATATATATATATATATATATATATATATATATATATATATATATATATATATATATATATATATATATATATTACTGTTATAAATTTAATTTCTGGAAATATCTGAATTTTCGAAAATTAAAATCGAACTGAAACCCGAAAATTAATATGCATTTCAATTTCGTTCTGAAAAAGTTTAGAAAATTATATTCCAATGTGGACCCTCGTAATATAATAGAATTAATAATTCGAGAGGCGGCAAAATTTTAAAGGGTAAATTACAACCATTCTTGAGGTATGGTTAATTTACGAAAAAACCTCTCTTGTTTGAATAATTACATTTACCTACCCAACTATAATTTTTTTCTTACATCTCCACCCTTATGGTGTCAAATTGAACATAATCATTTAGATTTCGTGAATGTGCTATAATTTTTACACAGTTTGTGTAAAAATACAGTTTCTGATGCACCAAAATCTGATATATACAAGCCAAAAAACACATCTTATGATCATGTTGCTTCAAAATGTGGAGCTCGAATGAGATAAAAAAGATACAAAAGTGATAATATTCCATATAATCAAGAAGATTCCACTAAATTTGAAACCATAAGGGTGGACGTGTAAGAAATTTATACTTGAGGGGTTGTAATTAGCCAAACATGAGGGGATTTCGTAATTGTATTATACCTCGGGGGTTGGTTGTAATTTAACACCCTAGAATTAATAATTCGAGAGGCGGCAAAATTTTAAAATATAGTGAATTTTAGCCCCATTTTCATTTCTGAGGTTTTTGGCAGTCGGCTCGGCTCATACCGACACGTGGAAATTGGGTATCGGCGTATCGCTCCTCCATCCCTCCGCCGCCGCCGCCGCTGATCAGCGTGATGGAAACCAATTCGAACATCGTTCCGATTCTGATTGGAAATAAAGAAGAGGAAGAAGAAAACTCTGTGGTTGAGGTACAAGATCCCTTTTTTTTTTTTTTTTTTTTTTATTTCACCATTACGAACGCAGCATTCATATTTTATGCTTTGTTTTTTTGGCTGCACGTCTTAGAAATATTTGAACAGATAAATACTCTGATCTGTTCAGTTAAATTGGGGATGAATAGGAAAATGGTTGATCGAAATATGGAAATATTGAAATAGTTAGGGTTTCAATTTCAGACTAGTCTATTTACAAAGTATACCTTCGCTTCATCATATTGCAGATGGTTGTGGGCAAAAGCAGTTATTCTGCACAAATGAAAAGGAAGAGAGAGATCTTAACAAATCGAAAGTCTCTTCCGGATGAAATGGTCTTCGAGATTATCGCGCGTCTCCCGGCCGAAGATATTTACAACTACGCCGTGCTCGTTTGTCGGAAGTGGTACCGTGCAATCCACACCCGTAACTTCGTATACTCACACCTTCGCCAATCAACTCCCGGACTTCTCGTACAGACTTTATGCTGTGGCAATAGTGCTTCATTTTTCGTGTCGATGAGTCGGGGCCGAGTTGTGGTATCTGAGTTCGGTTACGAGCTCAGGGGAGGAACTTGGGCTAGTTGTAATGGTTTGATAGTGGAGTTCGATTACTGGAAGGATGCTCTTCATATCACAAATCCTGCAATCAAGCAACACTCTACCATCCCTCTGTTTTCTTTCCCGGTAGCAAGCCACGATTGTCACTGTATAGCGTATTCGGCCGCTTCAATGGAGTATAAAGTGGTCGTCGCGTACCGTATCAAGGATGGCAATTCACGGGTGTTGCGTTTGGCTATTCGGACTGTCGGAGTTGACGAGTCTTGGAGGCATGTTTGCACCGAACACTTGCCAAACGATATCGAGGCGAACACCCCGTTTATAACCGAAGGTTTTATCCACTGGCCTTCGAGAAAAACGCATGTTCTGACACTTAATGTAGAGACCGAAGTTATTACCGAGACACCTGTTCCTCAAGGTTACGAGAAAAGATATAAATATTATTTGTCGACTGGAAAGTCTCTGTCTTTTATCATTAACTGCAGTGAGTTCTCTTTGGAGGTTTGGGAAATGAAATCGGAAACTCGAGAGTGGACAAAGATGTGTAATGTTGACTTGGAAGCTCGAAAGTCGAAGTTCGAACACTTGTACTGTAGAAATGATTCGAGCCCGTTTATGCTAGTACCGGGTGGTTGGTTAAATTACCAAGAGGTGTTGGTCTTGTGTGTTTCCCATAAAACTCGTGTTTGCATTGCGTACAATCTTCGCACGCAGGAAATCGGCTTCTTCGAGTTGGGTTATGATTGTAAATATCCGAACTTCGAAGTCCATACAAACAGCCTCGTTTGGTTTAGTGGAAGCTGAGTTTGTTTCGATTTTGGCTCTAGATTAGCGAAACGTTTTTGCACGATTTTAACGATGTTTATATAACTCCATGGGAGCATCGGAGAACTATTTTAATGAGTTGTTTGTGTTGAAACTTTGGGTGCAAATTTAGACTGGATGACCTGTTTTAATAGGAAAATCGGATGCCATAGGATGATTGACATATTTTAATAGGAAAATCGAATGCCATAGGATGATTGACATATCGGTAAGAGTTAAAATTTAAGAGTGCCAAATGTTAAAAAATTAGTGGAATCCGATTTATATTAAATATCGGCTGATCCGTTCAGAATTTAATCTCTTAAACTTTATATATTAGCTATTTCTTACAAAGTCTTCATACATTTAATTAGTTATAAATTTGCTATGCATTAAACAAAATATTAATATATATTTTATAAAATATGATAATTAGCTACTCCCTAATTTTTAAAACTGTTTGGGGCATTTTAGTACTTCTATTAGTTTTTGGAAAAGATCGATATATTATCATTCTTTTTTTGAAAAATAAATAAATACTATTTCTCCCAAGCCCCCAATTTTTTTCCAGAACTATTCATAAAAAAAATGTATATTCAAATTAAATTGTATGAATTAAACTGTATATTGTCCAAAATATTGAAGAAAAATAAAATAAAAAAAAAATAAAAAAAGGAAAATAAAACAAGCGTAACTAATCACATTTGATACCATTAAAAAATGGACACGCCTAATTGTTAAAGATTTAAAACGATTTTACCGATTTAAGAGGTCATCAGTAAATACCGCGTAGCAAATAATACTCGTCTATCACACAGTCAAACATTTATTATAATTCCTATCTCTCTCTCTATATATATATACATACACGCCCCCGTTCACCTTCCTCCATAACCAAAACCTCGTACAAACAAACAAAACCTAGTACCAACAAAAAAAGGTAAATCATTTGATCTGCAAAACATGTCAACGGACGCCGCTACAGAAGATGGAAGTACAGCGGCGGCGGCGCTTTCTTTGGACAAGCGCCCGCGGCGGTACGACTCCTTCGACATTGAGTCCAACCGCAGCCACAAAAGAGGCGGCGCCGCCGCGGACGGAGGAGGAGGGTGGGGGGTTCTGGTGCAGCTGGCGTTTCAGAGCATCGGAGTGGTGTACGGGGACCTCGGAACCTCGCCGCTGTACGTGTTTGCTGGCATATTCAGCGACGGAATCAAACACGAGGATGATATTCTCGGAGTTTTGTCGCTAATTCTGTACACGCTTACCTTAATACCTGTCGTCAAGTACGTCTTCATCGTCTTGCGTGCAAATGACAACGGCGACGGTAATATATAATATATAAATTAAAGTAATATAAATATTATAAATAATATATAAAGTATATAAATTAACGTTAGAAAATAGTCAAAATTAGGTCATACTATAGTCGATTAGGTCATGGTAATGTTGGGTTTACGGAACTGAAATATACTACCTGATTACGTGCGTAATTAGGGGTGAAAGTTGGAACAGACCTTCGATTTCTGTTGGTTTCGATCGGAAAAATTCACAATTTTGGAACAATTTTATTTCATTTGGGTTTTCCAAAATTCTGATTGGAATTTGATTTTATATAGAAAAAATATTTGGGATTTCCGATACGATTTAATTTCTAGATTCCAAAAATTTTCGAATTGTAATTAGTTTTGTATTTATGAAAAAAATGATTTTTTTTTTCTTTTTTTTTTTCCTCGAAATGGTTAATTCCGATCAGTTCCTTACGACTTTGATTCGTTTTTATTTTATTTCTATAAATTTGGAATTTATTATTTATCCTTAGTTATTGTCCCATCGATATTAAATTTTTCCAAGTAAAATCAGTTTATTATTTATCCATATTTATTGTCCCATCCACATTATTTTGAATTGATTTTTGGAAGCATTTTTATAATCATAATTCAAAAAAAAAAAAAAATTAACATGTTATGATTCAATATTACTACACTAAAAGTGGTGTATTCTTGACAAAGTGTATCATTTAAATTGATGAATTTTTATAATTTTTTTTTTAATTTTATTTAAGGAGGGACATTTGCTTTGTATTCGCTGATATGTCGATATGCGAAAGTGGGATTGATTCCGAGCGAAGAGGAGGAAGATCAAAACGTCTCCAACTTCCAGCTCGAGTTGCCTAATAATCGTAATCAAAGAGCTTCAAAACTTAAATCGAAGCTCGAGAATAGCGTTTTCGCCAAGTACATGTTGCTATTCGCCACCATGCTCGGAACTTCCATGTTAATCGGAGATGGTGTGCTTACTCCATGTATCTCAGGTACATTAATACATTTTTCTTCAATATAATTTCGAATCTACGTTTACTATATTTTCTTCGAAATTTTAAATTAAAAAATTAATAAATATAATTTATTTTCGTGTTATCCGACAGTGCTATCGTCGATGGGTGGACTCAAATTAGCTGCAAAAGCTATGACACAAGGTTAAACATTTTTTTTTGTAAATTAATTTTGTTGTTTCTTTTCCTAATTGAATTTGTTTTTAAACAGATACAATCGTTTGGACGTCGGTCGGAATATTAATATTCCTGTTCATGATTCAAAGATTTGGAACCGACAAAGTCGGGTACACTTTTGCGCCGGTACTAACTCTTTGGTTCTTGTTAATTTCTGGAATCGGGCTATACAATATCATAAAACACGACCCCCTCGTCATCAAAGCTATAAACCCTAAATACATTGTCGAATATTTCATGAGGAACAAAGTCGACGCATGGATTTCTCTCGGCGGTGTTGTTCTTTCCATTACAGGTGAATATATATACGCGAGTCTAATAAAATTTTGTCGAGTTGTCTTAATCTTTTTTTTTTTTCTTCTTGTATAGGAACCGAAGCATTATTTGCTGACGTCGGTCACTTTTCGGTGAGAGCAATACAAATAAGCACGTGCGGTCTCGTTTACCCGTCGATCATTCTAGCGTACATCGGACAAGCTGCTTATCTTCGCAAGAACATGTCCGATGTTGGCATGGCATTTTATGCTTCAATCCCAGGTTTTTTTTTTTAATTTAATTTTATATATATATGAATAAATTTTGTTTTTTTCTCTCCCAATTTTGATTAACTAAGATTGATTATGTTTCTACATACTATAGGACCAATGTATTGGCCAATGTTTGTAGTGGCAGTATTGGCATCAATAATAGCCAGCCAATCTTTAATCTCGGCCACATTTTCGATAGTCCAACAATCGCTTTCGCTCGGTTGTTTCCCTCGCGTAAAAGTCGTGCACACGTCTACAAAATACCCGGGCCAAGTCTACGTTCCCGAGATCAATTACCTTCTAATGTTGGCTTGTGTGTTTGTCACACTTGGATTTAGGGACACTATAAAGATTGGCAATGCCTATGGTAATTACATACAATTCATTAATTGCTATATTTACCTTATCATATTTTTCTTTTTGGAATACTTATGTTTCTTTTCGATGAAGGGATTGCGGTGGTGTTTGTGATGGCACTAACGTCGGCGTTTTTAGTTTTGATAATGATCTTGATTTGGAAAACTCACGTAGTCCTCATACTCGCGTACGCTTTCACCATTTTCGCATTGGAGCTACTTTATCTGAGCTCGGTTCTTTACAAGTTCGATCAAGGGGGGTACTTACCCCTTGTGTTCGCCTTTTTCTTGATGTCGGTCATGTACGTTTGGAACGACGTGTATAGGAAAAAGTACCACTTCGAGCTCGACAACAAAATTTCTCCGAAAAAAGTCAACGAAATTATCAAAGATTCGATTTCTCACGAGAGACTGCCCGGGCTAGCAATCTTCTACTCGGAGCTCGTGCACGGAATCCCGCCAATATTCAAGCACTACATTGCAAACGTACCCGTGATTCACTCGGTTTTGGTCTTTGTTTCGTTCAAATCGTTGCCGATAAGTAAAGTGCCGTTAGAAGAAAGATTCCTTTTCCGGAGGGTGCAACCGAATGATCTACAAGTGTTCCGTTGCGTTGTGCGTTACGGGTACAAGGACGTAAGGAACGAGGAAGAGCCGTTTGAGAGAATGTTGGTTGAGAGGTTGAAAGATTTCATTAGGGAGGACTATGTTATTATGGGCGTAGAAAACGAAGAGTTGAAGGATGAAGCGGAGATGGACGTCGAGGAATTGGACAAGGCGTGGCGGCGCGGGGTGGTGCACATGGTGGGGGAGCAAGAGGTGGTGGCGGCGAAGGGGGCTAATATTGTGAAGAGGGTGATGATTGATTATGCATATGATTTCTTGAAGAAGAATTTGAGGCAGAGCAACAAGGTGTTTGATATTCCTCACAAGAGGATGCTTAAAGTTGGGATGACTTATGAACTCTAGAGGGTTTTCAATGTATTTTTATCTCTCTTTTTTTGTTTTTTTGTTTTTTTTTTATAATTTTAATTTTAATTTTCATTTCCTATTCTAATCTCATTTTTCTTTAACTATTGTAATCTATATTTTATATAAAAAATGAATGTATATGCAATTTATTAGAAATCCTAAAATTTATGTAGCACGAATACTTAACTTCATTACGTTTTTGCGTTTTTGACATGTTTCATGTCCTACACTCAATGACACCTATGACACCTTATGGATCATTTTGCAATTTCTAAAAGATTAGAAACATATTTGAATAGCAAACCTTTTAAAAAATTTTTTGGCTTCCCTCATTGTTTACTTAGTTTAATGATCAACTGCAAACTCATACATGATATTAAAATTTATTATTTTTATGGAATATATAATTTTTTTTTTATATATTAATAATCAAAACTCCCCCCTCTCTTTCTCTCTCTATCTCTCATATATATTTTAGGCCCAATTATTTAAAGCCCAATTTTCATTTCTGCATTAATCGGCAGTCGGTTCACATAGATAGATACACTGAAATTTGGTGACGCTCCTCCATCCTTCCACAAGCCGCCGGCGCCGGCGCCACTAGATTCTCACCGTCGCGGAGATACATCGTTCCAACTCTGATGGCAAATAAAGAAGGAAAATCTGAGGTACCTTCTCTTACATATCATTTTTCTCTCGAATTTCAGAACGAAAATTAAACTCGTAAAACCTGTCAACTTTTTGATCTAGAAGCCGTTTGAATTCGTGAAAAAAATTAAATTCGTGAATAAATAAACGATCTGACTTTGTTAGGTTAAAATTGGGGATGAATAAGAAATGGTTGATTCGGAAAAATTGAAATAGCTAGGTTTACATTTTGAATGTGTCTATTACAGAGGCCCTTTTGTTTCGTTATAACGCAGATTGTTGTGGGCAAATGCAATTCTGAACGTGTGAGAATGAAGTACAGGAGTTCAACTAAAATTGAGTTTCTTCCAGATGAATTAGTGTTCAACATTCTCGTACGTCTCCCGGCCGAAGATATTTACAACGACGCCATGCTCGTTTGTTGGAAGTGGTACCGTACGATCCATTCTCGTAACTTCATAGACTCGCACCTCCGCCATTCGACTCCCGGAATTCTTATCCGGAATTTTAATTGCAAGAATAACGATTCGATTATTGTGTCGATGAGACAAGACCGACTTGTGTTATCCGAGTTCAGTTACAAGTTCGCAGGAGGAGGACCTTGGTCTTGTTGTAATGGTTTGATAGTCGAGTACGATTACTCGAAGCGTTCTCTTCGGATTACAAATCCTGCGATAAAGCGACACTTTGCCATCCCTCAATTTATCCGCCCGAGAGCACACGTCATATATCCTAGTATAGCTTATTCGGCTGCTTCCAAGGAGTATAAAGTGGTTCTCACATACGGTATTTCGGACGGCGATTCGTACGTGCCGCGGTTGGCTATATTGACTGTCGGAGTTGACCAGTCCTGGAGGGATGTTTGTACACCGCAATTATCGGAGGATATGATAATTATTGCTCCGTTTATATCCGAAGGTTTTATTCACTGGCCTTTAGAACGAACTCATGTTCTGACCTTGAACGTGGCGACTGAAGTTGTTACGAAGACTCCTCTCCCCGAAGGTTGTGATAGCGGATTTAAATTTTATTTGTCGACTGGAAAAAACCTATCTTTGTTCGTTAGGTGCACGGTGTTTTCGTTGGAGGTTTGGGACTTGGAATCGGAAAGTGGAGAGTGGACGAAGATGAATAATATTGACTTGGAATCTCAGAGGTCCAAATTTGAGGACGTTTACTGTAAAAAGAATTCCCGTAGGTTCGTGCTCATTCCAACTGTTTGGTTAAAATGCAAAGAGGTGTTGGTGTTTCGTTTTCAACGTCCAACTGGGGTTTTCTTTGCTTACAATGTTCGTACACATGGGATCGATTGGTTTGAGTTGGATTGTGCTTGTCATTTTCGTAACTTTGAATTGCATACAAACAGCCTCGTATGGTTGACTTGAAGCTCGTAAGTTTGAAAGAATGTACGGGCGTCGATCATGAAGGAGAATCGAGTGAAATTGCTGATGAAAATTCGAACGGTGAAATCGAGAGGGATATTTGAGGAATCGGACAAGGCTTGGCGGCGCGTGGTGGTGCACATGGTGGGGTAACAAGAGGTGACGGCGCCGGCAAGGGAGCCAATATTGTATTTAAATAAATTAGAAGTAGTTGACTGTTGGTTTCAATATATATTTGAGGAATTGTAGCTATTTTAGCAATTTACTTTTTTAATCAGATTTGATCCAAATAATCAGGACTATTACAAGGGCTTTACAGATATTATGAAAATTTGATTTTAATCATCTAAACTAGAAGTTGCATTATTTGGCAAATAAATACTAATTTCAGCTTTTTTTTTCTTAATAAAATAATAAATAAAATATTCATGACTACTTGTTATTATTTTTTTGGATAAATAGGAATCCGCATATGTAAGACGCGCGTCTCAAGCGCGTGAACTTGTTATCCCTCTTTCTCCCCTGTTCGTCATATTCCGTTTCCTTCCAGTTTGCGCATTCTTTTCAACTTTATCGAGTTTTCAAGCAACTTATCAGATTTCCCCTTACTTTTCTCCGTTGACTTACCCCCCCCTCTCTCTCTCTCTCTCTCTCTCTATACATATGAATTATATACATGTATACATGCGTGCCGATACTGTGTACATCAGCCCACTTGAAGTTATATATATAAATATACAATTTGCTGCTGGAAAATCCTTTACAAAGCATTATTTTCACCGGACAATTTCTTGTTTCTCATGAACACCGACATACCCGATAGGTAAGTGCTTTTTCTCTCACATACTAAAGTTACCTTGCTGTTGAAATTTTAGAACTTTTTGTTAAGTTGATGGTCATGATGCTTTTGCTGTAGTTGAAATTATTTGATGCCATTTTAGGTGTTTTGGTTATTTTTTTTTGATTATTTGTATGTAATTGATGATAGTGTGAAAAGCCCAGATGAGTAATTGTGTATTTAGATAGAATTTGTTGTGCTCCCAGATGGTTACTGATAAAATGCCTGAACCAAAAAGGAAGAGATCTTTCATGTGGAGTTGCCTTCCATCAGCAATTCTCCTTTCAGCTGTTTTCTTCATTGGAAGTGCGTTCTTAGTCACTGATTATAAAGAGGTATTAATTGTGCTTATCTTTGATCTTTAGATTTTTTTTTTTTTTTATAATTGATGATTGGTGGAAACTTTTCAATTTGTGAATTTGACTACGATTTTAGCGATTAATTTCGTCTATTCTTTGCTTAGTTAATCCTCATTGTTATGTGAGAGTTCATTTTGAAGCAAACATTACTTTTTCTTGTTGGCTACGATTCGTAGACAATGTGATTCTAAATAAAGTTAAAATCTTTTCCGGACCCTTTTCCTTGCAGAGGTTTTTGGGGGCATGTAATCTATATCCAATCAAGGCTACAAAATCCAAGACCTGTGAGGTTCGTAGAAAATTTCAGCTATTACGTATTTAATCCTTTGAATGGTGGTTTCCCGTGATTTATACGAAAGTATACTTTCGGCCATGCATAAAATGCTGGTTATATATGTTTACATATTCTTCGACTTTGTCTAGTATGAGTGCAGGCCTAATGGCACTGAAACATTGCCTAGAGGTATTGTTTCTAGAACAACTGATATGGAGATGCGGCCACTTTCGGGCCCTCCTAAGAAGAAGGTATTAATATTCTCTTAAGCCAGTGCATTTAAGATAAAACGAATGATCATTTTTCATGGTTCTTTATTGTGTTTATCTGATCCACGTATTTGTTTTCTGTTTCGATTCCCACTTTAGAAGTTGAAGTCACCTATGAACTTATTGGGTATTGCAGTTGGAATAAAGCAAAAGCAAAATGTAAACGAAATTGTTAAAAAGGTAAGAACAATATCGAAACAACCCCACCCTTGCTTCTGCTGTTTATACGTATGTACCTCTCGGGCTTGAATGTTTATTTAATTTGATCTTATTTTTCAGTTTCCGCTGACTGATTTTGCCGTCATGCTTTTTCATTATGATGGAAATGTCAACGGCTGGAGAGATTTAGAATGGAGCAATAGTGTGGTACACGTTTCTGCAATTAACCAGACTAAGTGGTATCAGTTTAAAGAAAAAGAAGAAGAAATTCTTGTGTTATTACAAGTAGTTTATATATCTACTGTGTTTGACTTTCGTGTCTCGTTTATCATCAGGTGGTTTGCCAAACGGTTCTTACATCCAGACGTTGTTGCACAGTATGATTATATTTTCCTTTGGGATGAAGATCTTGGAGTTGAAAATTTTCATGCTGGAAGGTTAATTCACCTAAATCCTAATATCTAGTAGTCGTAATATAAATTTCGTTTTGCTTTGATGAAATTACTGAAGTATTTGTGTTGAGAGTTACTGGTCCAAAACTTGTATAATATTTGATTCTCCTTTGTTTATGCAGATATCTGTCAATTGTTAAAGAAGAGGGACTTCAGATATCACAGCCAGCAATTGATGCTGAAAAATCGGAGGTGCATTACAAACTTACGGAACGGGAAATAAGCTCGAAAGTACACAGGTATATATATATATATCAACTTTTGAACTTGATAAAAAAATCACGGGTAATTCATAAGTAGAAGCTGTTGAGTATTTTTCGGTTCTTATTCTAAGGTAAATCTCTGCTTATTTTCTTTGCTAACAGAAGAGCTATTAATTTACACGGACCAGGACGAAGGTGTTACGAAAATAGTATGGAACCACCATGCACAGGGTATGTTTTACTCGTCGATATATACAGAGACAAAGGGTATCATGGTCATTTGTTCTTTTATCGTAAATGTATTTTATTATGTAAAATATGATTTTGTACATATGACAGATTTGTGGAGATGATGGCTCCTGTTTTCTCAAGGGTATCATGGCGTTGTGCTTGGCATATGATTCAGGTTTGGAATAAAGTCTTGTCATTAAACTGAATTAGATTCGTTTTACGTTTGCACTTACTCTTGTTGATTCTGAATGGAATAATAACTTATGAATTAGAAAAAAAAAATTTATTGTTCACTTTGTTGTTTAAAACAGAACGACCTCGTCCATGCATGGGGCTTGGATTTTCAGCTTGGATACTGTGCACAGGTTCGCTATTTTTACGAGGCAATATTTTCTGGTTTTTTATTTCTATCTGCAAAAATGTGTTATTTTTTGGTGAAATATAAACATGGCAGGGAAATAGGACCACGAATATCGGGATTGTCGACTCTGAGTATTTAATCCACTTAGGTCTTCCTACGCTTGGAGGTTCGTCAGGCACTAAGGTATACGGAGTTTACTAGATGTGATTGAACACTGTTCCCATAGTTTACTGTACGTTATTTTTATTTATTGACTGATGCAGATAAATGATGAAGTCGAAAAGCAATCTTCTCCAGATAAAATATTGCCGAACGCAGGAAAAACGGTATAACGTTTTTTTTTTTTTTTTTTTTTTTTTTTTTTTAACGAAAGATTTGTAAGGCTTACTGAGTTACTGATCTGATTTGGCGAACTTGCAGGAGATATCTGCGGTAGAGCCATCCGATGAAAGAAATGCTGTAAGAAATTACGAATTAGTTCATTGCTTGTGTTTAATTTGGAAATTGAAAAACTAATTTTTTTTTTTTTTAAATTTTTTGGTCGAAAATTGTGCAGGTTCGGAGAGAGTCGTTCATCGAATTAGACGACTTCAAGAATAGATGGAAGAAAGCTGTGAGAGAAGATGAATGTTGGGTAGATCCATTGCAAACACCTCCACAGCAGAACTGATACTAAAAAAAATTAACTCATGTTGAAAATTGTAATTTATTGAGATTAATTGAACCCAATTATTTAAATAAATAAAATTAATTTAAAGAAATTTAAAACACTTAAATTATATATCTGATTTGGATAGTTTAACATCCAACATTAATAATAAGGGTTAAATACAAGTTGCACCCTTGTACTACTGTCACTGTCGCATTTGCCTCCCTAAACTATCAAATGCGACAAAACAACCCCTCATTTTAACAGTCAAGTCAACTCCGTTTAAGTAGCATGGCCCAATTCCTCTATAATAATAATCGGGCCCTAAGATGCTCTGGCCCATCTTCCTTTAAATTAATTCCCAGCCCAGCTTTTCCGAGTTAATTGCAAATACCACCCCTGTGCAATCCCTAATTATCAAATACTCCCCTGTCAAAAAAAGAAAGAAAGAAAAACTCACTGCAATTCCTCTTAGCCCCTGATACGTCGTCGTTCACGCAAATCTCCGAATCTCGATTTCACAATCGAAAGCTCTAATTTTGCCCAGCCTGGATATGATCGATCTTTTCTGGTGCCCAAAAACTATATCTTAGGACATTGAATTCGGAAACGGAAGGTCAAAAATAAAATCGTAGCGGCTTTGTGCCTGTTAAAATTTTCGATGGTGTCTAATCAAGTTGAGTTTCAGGAAAAAAATGACGGTAAGGTGTTCGACAAAATGCCAGGAAGATACATTGCTTCATTGACTTTGATAAATTTTTGGTTGTCTTGGTCAAAACTCTCTGAATATTCAACGTACGGCTGTCCTAGCAATGAATGTCTCGAGTTGACTAACAATTCCCGGCAGTATTGGGTGGTGCTAATGAATTTACTCCGTGACCCACTTGTAGCTTCTATATACAGCGACGAAGACTTGCAAAACGGCCAGAAACTGAAAATAACTAATTTGGAGAGTTGGAGAAATAATGAAGTTTCAGGCCTTTGTTGTTTGCCTGCTGTTGCTTGTATTTCGTAACCGCTCATATGCCGATGAGCCGAAGGTTTCGGTACTGGATAACGGTGAAAAGATTAGAATCAACATTGGTGTGATTCTTGATATGGGAACATGGGAGGGGAAGATTGTCCATAGCTGCATTAAAATGTCTGTATCAGACTTTTATAGACTTAACGGGTGCTATAGAACTAGGATTGCTCTTCATGTGAGAGATTCCGGTGGAGATTCTTTACGTTCTATTGCTGATGGTGAGTTTTTGTTTACTGCAGCAATTGTCATATTTGTTCTTGTTTTTTTTCTGCACCAACTAAAGCTGGGCTTAAGTTTTTGTGTTGAAGCTATTATTATTTTATTCGGCTTGGTTCAGATATTCCTTACAAAAAGATATGAGTTGTCATTTAAAGTGTTTAAATTTTTGAGGTCCTACAGAATCGCAGCATTTTTTCGCCCAAATGTATATTCAAATTTAAAGCATGGATTTTGCTCTCTTAGTGACATTAGTTATAGTCGTGCTCACTTTATGGCTTGCATGAGTTATCTTTTCGTCAAGATTTCTGGTCTAAGGGGAAAAAGAAGGAATAACATGGTTCTATTGCTGTAATTCAATCAACTAAATTACCAAAACTCCATGTCAGTGTTTTTGTTTCAGTCTGGGAAAAGAACAAAAAACGTCATTTTACCACCTCATTACGGAAGAGTATGTAGTTTAGAAGGATGCACTTCCTTGAAATAATCTCACTCGCGATTGCCTTTTATTTTTGTAACGCAGCTCTAGACCTTTTAGAGAATGTTGAAGTCCAAGCAATGATAATTCCGAAAATATCAAACGAAGAGTTGTTTCTAGCCAGGCTGGGGGACAGAGTTAATGTTCCATTATTATCGTTCTCTTCAATATCGTCACCCAACGAACATCCTTATTTCGTTCAAGTTGCCGAAGATGAGAACACTCAGTTCCATGGCATTGCTGCTTTTTTAAAATCACTCAGATGGAAAAGCTTCGTGTTTTTGTACGAGGATAATGCAGATGCAAGACAAGCCCAAACTTATATACATGATATATTACAGGAGAATCACTTGAATGTTGCGTATCAAACCGCCATTTCTCTTCAGGCGACGGATAATCAAATCATTAATGACCTTCATAAGCTCATGGAGATGAAAGCTTCCATAATTTTGATGCACTTGTCACCCTCTTTAGCATTGAAAGTATTTTTAAATGCGAAAATATTAGGGATGATGAGCAAAGGATTTGCGTGGATAGTGACGAGCAAAACCATGAATTTGTTGGACTGGGAGGATTCTTCAGTTTACGAGTCAATGGAAGGAGCCATTGGTTTCAGATATTATATTCCTCCGTCAAGTAACACCCGAAATTTAACTTTGCGACTGAGAAGGGAGTTTCAACACAATGAATCGAATATGGAAATCAGGGAGTTGAACGTGTTTGGTTTATGGGCATACGACGCTGCTTCGGTTTTAGCAGAGGCAGTGGAAAGGGTAGGAATAGAACTCTCTCAAAATTCCAGTGCAGGTGCGGGACCAAAGCAGTTGAGTTTTGCTGCACTAAAAGTTTCAAGCAGTGGTTCAGAAATCCTGAGCAAGATTGTAAGCAGTACGTTTACTGGGTTACTGGGAAAGTTTCAGCTTTCGTATGGGAAATCAGTCCTTGAGATTTATGAAGTACTGAATGTAATAGGTAATGGGGAAAGAAGAGTAGGTTTCTGGACATCTGCACATGGACTTACTGAGAAAATAAATCCGTCCCTTAATTCTGCATCGGGCATTCTTGAAACCATTATCTGGCCAGGATTCTCCTCAACAGCTCCGAAAAAACGTTGGCTGTTACAAAAGAGTGGAAAAAGCTTTCGAATTGCAGTTCCAGGAAAAGCCACCTTCCCTGAATTGCTAAGCTGGGATTATGATCAACAACGCGGTGCAACAACTGTGAGCGGATTCTGCATAGATGTATTTCGAGCTGCTGTTGACAGGCTGCCATACAAGATATCTATCGAGTATATTCCCTTTGACACTGACCAATACAGTTATAATGACCTCATATATCAGGTCTATGAACAGGTATATATTCTCTTCAAATTGTCTGAGAAACATCAGTCGTGGAAATTCTCACAATTTCGAGCATCAGTTTTCGTTGTGTCATATAAGTTTCAGCTCAATATTTGCTATCGGAAGAATGTGCATGTAATTCTTATTTGATGGTCCTGATTCTTCTTCAAAGATTCTAGCTTTTATCGATCAAACCCTTGTTCAATGTGCTCTAACCAGTAAATTGTGTGCCTTTCAAAAGAATACTCTCTTTCTTTCAAGTATTTTCGCTGATAACTATTTTATTCTTCATGAATTGTCTAGAAATACGATGCTGCAGTGGGGGACATAACTATCCTTTCCAACAGGTCTTTATATGTCGACTTCACACTGCCTTTTTCCGAGTTAGGCCTGGGCATTATCGTTAAATTGAACGATAGAGACCCTTGGTTCTTCTTAAAGCCACTCAATATATATCTGTGGATAACGAGTGCATGTTTCTTTTTCCTGACCGGATTTATTATTTGGCTTATCGAGCACCGTATGAATGAAGAATTCCAAGGCTCTCCAGCTCAGCAGATTGGAACCGCGTTGTCGTTTGCTGCTTCGACTCTTGTTTATGCTCACAGTATACTCTCTCTTCTCTTGTTTGAAATAAATAAATTACAAACAAAGATTCGTTTCTGATAATTTATTTGCATGTGATTTTTTTTTTTTTTTTTTTGTGTGCAGGAGAGAATTTAAAAAGTAACATCTCTAGATTTGTCGTGGGCGTCTGGTTGTTTGTTGTTCTAATACTAACATCCAGTTATATTGCAAAGCTGAGTTCGCTTTTGACAGTGGAACAGATCAAATTAGCTACAAGTGATTACATAGGTTATCCAGCTAATTCTTTCGTAGTACGAGGAATTAGTGTGAGCAATCTGAATTTCACAGATAACCGGCGCCAGCCTTATCAATCTCCAAACGACTACAACGAGGTTTTAAGAAAAGGAAGTAAAAAAGGCGGTGTTAGTGCCATTGTTGACGAACTACCGTACCTTAAACTACTTGTCGCAAAATACCCTAATGAATACACCATAATCGACTCGTCAGCCACAACCAATGGCTTCGGTTTTGTAAGTGTTTCTTTCTACACAAAAAAAAAAAAAAAAAAAAAAAATCTCTTTCTCGTGCGTCGGTTTATATATTTATATATATATTTGGCAGGCGTTCCAAAAGGGTTCACCGCTGGTACGTGATATATCAATAGCAATAGGTGAACTTAGAGAAGAAGGGAAACTCGTGCAAATGGAGAGGAAATGGTTTTCGAGTCAAACGTCATTGTTTTCTCAGGACACAGAATCGTCTAATAAGGCCGACCCTCTCGGTGTGTATAACTTTTTTGGTCTGTTTATTATAAATGGGGTATCTGAAGCTATGGCCATACTCGTATTTCTCGTGTTCTTACTTAGGGAAAAATTGTCGATACACTTTAATATTTTCGCATTTATGGCCGGAGGAAAATTGATGTCCGTTTTGAGGTACTTCTATCCCGGGAGGATTATCGGTGCAGTCGATGGAAGATGATGTAAATTTTTCGATTTCTTTTTCTTTTCTTTTTTATTTGTACAATAAGCTAGTATTCTAGCTTAATAGATTATAAGTCACCCCTTGTATAACAAAATAAATAATGAAATAAGTTGGTTCTACTAATCTCAAATATTTGAAAGTTTCAATCTTATATTCAGCCTTGAAAAAGCATGTTACCAACTAATTGAAAATTCATATGAACCAAAGTCCAAATATGATTCAAAAGTCAACTTTAGGAAAATAGTCAATAAGGACAAAAGAACGTTCCAAGTCAACCATTAATTATATGAGAAGTGTTTTTGCATTCGAAATATTTGTACTTAATTCCAAATTTCAAAGAACCCCGTTATTATTTTTATTAACATAAATGCCCCTATAATATAATATTTAAAACAAGCGAACCCTTGGGAGCTTAAATTTCAAAGATCAGTTATTTTAATTGCATGTTTAATTGTTTATTGAAGATTATTTATTAAAATTAGATGTAATTATTCCCGGATAGTGTGTGATCTAAGGTGATGATGAAGTTTAGGGTGTAAATGTTGCCAGTAATGTGTTCGACAAAATGCCGGAAAGAGACGTTGATGTATTGGCGTTGACAATCTTCTGGCTGTATTGGTCAACATTGTCGGTATCAACTTGGGACCGAAGTTATTCACAAATATCTTAATTTTAATCCCCCACTTGCAGCAGCAGCATCTCTCTTCAAAGATGAAGTGAAAGAATTGTAAAACAATCATATTCGGGTAGTTGGAATATTAATGAAGATTCAAACCTTCGTTTTATGGCTACTGTTATTTCGAATATTTCATAGTCACTCATATGTTGTTGATGATGATGACAACATGGTTTCACATAATAATGGTGAAAAGAACGTAATCAACGTCGGTTTGATTGTCGACATGGAATCTTGGGTGGGGAAGGTTATACAGAGCAGTATTACAATGGCTCTGTCAGAATTTTATAATCTCAATAATGGGTGCAGTACAAGGATTGCTCTTCATGTTAGAGATTCTTTCAATTGTACAGATGCCGGTGAGTTTTTTTCGTTTTTTTATTTCAGACAAGTAGCAATATTAGTTTATCCTATGAGAGGGTTATAAAACTGAAATTCATCGAAATAAACTACCAAAGATCTGGATTAGAATTTTTTTTGTTTCAAATTTGGCGAAATATAATCAGTAGTACCGATTTTTCTCTTTATTGTTATGGAAGATCGTATAGTATAGAAGTAAGCATTTTCTTGAAATATTCTCGTTTAGGATCGCCTATCGTTTCCTAATGCAGCTCTCGACCTTTTGGAGAATGTTGAAGTGCATGCAATCATGATTCAGAAAATACCGAATGGGGATTCGTTTTTGCCGAGGTTAGGGGACAGAGTTAATGTCCCAGTCGTATCATTTTCGTCGATATCGAATGAGCATCCTTGTTTTATTCAATTTGCTGAAGATGAGAAGAATCAGTTCCATGGAATTGCTGTCTTTCTAGAAGAATTCAAGTGGAGGAGTTTCGTCTTTTTGTACGAGGATACTGCAGATGCAAGACAAGCCCAAACATACGTACACGATTTGTTACAGGATTACAAATTGGCTATTGCGTATCAAACCGCCGTTTCTATTGAGGCGACAGATGACCAAATCGTTAACGAGCTTCATAAGTTTAATATGATGAAAGCTTCAACGATCTTGGTGCATTTGTCGCCTTCGCTAGCGACTAAAGTATTTGTAAATGCAAAAAAATTAGGGATGATGAGCAATGGATTTGTGTGGATTTTGACTAGTAAGACTACAAATTCGTTGGAGTACTCCATGGATGATTCTTCAGTTTACGAGTCGATGCAAGGAGTTGTCGGTTTTCGACCTTACATCCCGATATCAAGCAAGATCCAAAACTTAACTTTGAGATGGAGAAGGGAATTTCAGCCGCACGAATCAAATGCGGAAATGAAGGAGTTGAATGTGTATGGTGTATTCGCATACGATGCTGCTTGGGTTTTAGCTGAGGCAGTCGAACGGGTTTCGGCTCGATTAAAATCTAATAGTGGTTCGGCCATTTTGAGCAAGATTACAAACAGTAATTCTACAGGTTTATTGGGCACATTTAAGATTGAAAATAGGAAATTAGTTCTCGATACATACGAAATAGTGAATGTATTAGGTAAAGGGGAAAGAAGAGTTGGTTTTTGGTCATCTGCATACGGACTTACAAAGGAAATAAGTAATTCTTCATCGGGCATTCTAGAAACCATTATCTGGCCGGGATTCGACTCAACGGCTCCGAAAAAACGTTGGCTGTTACAAAAGAGTGGAAAAAGCTTTCGAGTTGGAATTCCAACAAACGGAAGGTTCCCGGAATTGGTGAGCTTGTATCACGATCCAAAGAATAATGAAACAACTTTGAGCGGATTCTGTATAGAAGTATTTCGAGCTGCTGTTGACAGGTTACCGTATAAGGTATCTTTCGAGTATATTCCTTTCGACAATCAATATGGGAGTTATAACAACCTCGTACGTGAGGTCTATCTACAGGTACACTTACTTTTGCTATCTGTTTTTTTTTTTTCTTTCGAGTAATTTTGGCTGATAATATATTTTTGTGTAGAACTTCGATGCTGCAGTGGGGGATATAACTATAGTCTCAAACAGGTCCGAATACGTTGACTTCACTTTGCCTTATACGGAGTTAGGTGTTGGGGTTGTCGTCAGATTGAACAAAGACTCGTGGTTCTTCTTAAAGCCACTCAAGGCAGATCTTTGGATAACGATTGGCTGTTTCTTTTTTCTGATTGGATTTGTCGTTTGGCTTATCGAACATCGTATTAACGAAGAATTCCAAGGTCCTCCAGCTCGGCAAATCGGAACCGCAATGGGGTTTGCTGCTTCGACTTTCGTTTATGCTCATCGTAAACTCTCTGTTCTACTATGGTCAAATTTCGAGATAATTTCTTTTTTTTTTTTTTTCATTAGGTTTTCTGCTCAATTATTTTTGTTTATGTTATTTTTTTCCCAGGCGAAAAGTTACAGAGCAACGTATCGAAATTTGTTGTGGGAGTCTGGTTATTCGTAGTCCTGATTCTGACGTCATGTTACATCGCAAAGTTAACTTCCCTTTTAACAGTCGAACAGATTAAGTTGTCGAAAAGTGATTACATCGGTTACTCAGGTAGCTCTTTCATACAAGGGATTACCGTGAGCAATCTCAATTTCAACGACAACAGGCTCAAGCCTTATAGTTCTCCCCCCCCCCCCCCCAGGGTAAGGTATACTTACGAGAAAAAAACCCTCATTTTCCGTAATTACATCTGCCCGCTGAAATTTGTAGAGTTCTTACATTAACACACTTTTGTTGGGAGTGAATGTAAGAAATTTACAAACTTCACAGGTCTGAATGTAATTTCTCAAAAATAAGGGGGTTTTATGTAATTACACTTTACCTCATGGAGGTGGTTGTAATTTACCCTATCACATATACATGTCAAGTACTCAAGTCTATATATTAGAGTTTTCGAGGTTAATTAATCATTCAATAATATGTCAATTTTCAACTCACTAAACAGTACGTAGCAAAATTTAATTAGCAAAACACAAATATGAAACTAGTATTTAATTAATTACTGCAAGTAACTAGGTTTTTTTTTTTTTTTTTTTATAATATAGGAAAATCATGGACTATGTCTAAATGTTGTAACTCTTGTAAGATAATTGTATTCCAAGTAGGCAGGCTGACTTGGATTTAATGAGATTGAGACCACAGAGCATGTTCATTTTTTTGGACCACCATAATATAATTCATATATATTTAATATTTATATAAACTATAATCAAACTTTTCTTTCTCCAAAGAAGTGGAAGTCTAGTATCTTTTTTTATACTAATAATGCATGTGGAACACACAAAATGTAGACTGAGCCAACACTCTACACAATTAGGAATTGACAATTCCGCCGGCATAAATATAGCTCAACTGGTTTTGGGAGTCGTGTTTAATTGGTACAAGGTTTTAGGATCGAGTACAGACAGATCTGCTGTCCTAATATGTCGTTGAGACACTATAATTTACATTCTTTCCTCCCTTAAAAATTTGTCGGGCCAGGAGTTCAAAGTCCTGAAAAAATGGATTTCGCCTTTTGGTGCAAGGAATTGACAAATTTGAGAGTTGCTCTTTTACTTTTGTTAAAGTTGATATATTAATTTAGGTAAATTAAAGGGCTTTGGTCATTATTAATTTACAATATCTTGTCCATCAACATTAAAATATACTTGAATAACGTGTTGTTTGATCTCTTTTATAAAGTGGTTAAGAAATTTTATAGATTTAATTAAACATAAGCATGCGTTTCAATAACGTGTTGATCTCTTTTAAAGAAGTGATTATGAAATTTTATTGATTTAATTAAATATAAGCTGCATGATGTTCATTTAGATAAACATTTATACATATGAATGTATGATGAGTATGATGACTAGCTATATATATGTAGGGATCAAATTTCAATAAAACATAACTCATGCGGTTAATTTTTATTTTAAAAGAGTACTGCATGGAATAGTTTTATATCATTGATCTACATATAATAAAACACACTCATATGTATGTATACTTAGTGAATAATCATTTATTTAAATTTGCGGTTTAAAATCATGCAATGTATTTCATCGGGTGTATATGAACTCATAAGTTGTACTCTTCCTCATATAACATAGTACATTATGATATTTTCTTTCATACACACAAAATTAAAAAAAAAAAATCACAATATTATTTTTGTTAACTTCAACTGAAAATAGTTTTAATATATTTTTAAATTTTGTTGTCCAAAATAATATAGTAGTATTAAAAACTCCAACCGGAATACTCCACCATTGCGTAAGCACAAAAAGTGGTTCTTTCATTTCATATAGGAAAAAAAAGCATATTTTAAAGCCCAAAAAAAATCGTCAAGAAGCGAACTAAGTTAATTACGTCACTAAAATGTGAATTCCTACGGAAAATTAGATGATACATCTGGTTATTTATATTTAAAACGTAGATTTACACATAACCACGCATACCCCATGTGTATGTGTTATTAATTGTTAGTTATTTAACCAAATCTACAATTTTAAGCAACTCGATGAAAATAACCAGATGCAACATCTAACAGCCCGAATGGTTCAATTATTGCATAACATAAGCCTCCAGCATGTCACTTTATTTAATAGTAAAGACAACATACACTAGTGATAGACAAGACCAAAGACCCTACTATATGTTTTTTTTTTTTTCCATAAATAATTAATGTTGATATTTGGGTAGCAGCCATGCTTGCAGCGTCAGGATTGACTGAGTAAAGACATTGCTAAAGATGAAATATTCTCACACTAATTAATTATTTCTAGATCTAATAATGTTCTCCAACATCACTAGATTATATTATTTATTATTTAATTAGTGAAGGATTAATTAAGACCTTAATGTAAAACCTAGACCATGGGAAAAAACGTTGATTAATTATTGTATTGGTCAAATAAAGAAAATGAATTCCACGTACCAATAGTTATTATTCATGTCGAAACTTGTTTTCCACATTGTTAGGTACGTTGAACCTTTATATATAATTATATATACATATATATATATATATATATGTATATATATAGAGAGAACATCCCAATTAATTAGTAGCCACAACTTTTGAATTTGTAGCAAGAACATAAGTTCTTCATAAATATCTGCAGGTAGAGAGTGCTTAAGTTGCATATATAGCGATAACCATGAACAAAAAGAGTCTCTCCCGTCGACATTTGTCCGTCTCTCCCATCGATTCTCCTACCATGGATGGGTACGTAATCTCTCTCTCTCTCTCTCTCTCTCTCTCTCTCTCTCTCTCTCTCTCTCTCTCTCTCTCTCTCATAAGCCTTGTGCAGTTGTATCAACAAAAACTCGAGTTCGAACTCAAAAAGTCCGAGATCAACTCATTTTAATTATATTGTTCGAACGTATACTCGTGAGTTGTTTGTTGATTTTTCCCTTTTTTTTTGGATTATATATAATATAAGTAATATATATCATAATAAAAATTTATAATTATGATATTTCAAAATTTAAAATTAATTTGTATAGGTAATAAAAAGCTGATAAGCTTGAGTTAATCCTACAAAAAAATATAGGTCTAACCAAATTTAAAACTATGATTATGATATTTCAAATTATAATTAATACTTTAATTAACCCGAATAATTAGTTAGCTTCTAATTAATAGTACTCCATATATATATGTGACTGCAGTTTGGAAATGCAACCAAACATGTTCCCGGCGAAGGCACAGAACCCGACCACCCCCACCCCCGCCGCGGCGGCGGTGGGCCCCACCAGCACCACCGTGGGGAGGGTGAAGACGAGCGTGCACGTGACAGCACTCGACGGGATAGTGAACGTGAACTCCCTCTTCACCATGGCAATCTTCATCGGTTTCTCCATGACGGTCCCGCAAGCCGCCACCGCCGCCGCCACGGCGGCGTGCACCACTAGCCCGGAGACAGTCCGGCGGCTGATCGTGTTCGAGGTGGTCTCGTTCAGCTTCTTCCTGTTCTCGTCCCTCATAGCACAGAGCCTGAAGCTGGCCATCAACCTGATCAACAACATGGATCCGGGCGACCCGCACAAGGCGGATATCGACCCGGATGCCCTCAAATACGGGCTGTTCGCGTCGGCGGTCGGGTCGGTGGCGGGCTGCCTCTTCTTGACCCTGTCGATAGTGGACTTCATACAGGTGAAACTCGGGTCGTATTCGTGTGGCGGGAAACCGGTTTACGGGTTGGTGGTGCTGGTTGTGTTTGTCGGAACTGCGCTTTTGGTATACGTGACAACCGCTGTGTATGCTTCCTTCTTCGTTGAAGTTACCAGTAAGGGTAAAACCCAGCAGAATCAGACCTAGGGTTTGAATTATTTTCCACTTCTATTAATTATTAGCAACAATTATTATAATTGTTTAATTAATTAGTACTATTATTATGACATATTTTTGTAATAATTTTAGTTGTTTTTATTATATGTTTTAATTTCATTTGTATAACATAATCTAATCTAAAATAAATAAAACAACAAATAATATTGAAAGAAAATTATAAGGTAAATTGCACTTAACCCCCCTTGGTTTGAGTTTTTTGCATATTACTACCCTATAATTTAAATTTTATGCACACGGGCTCCTTGTTTTTTTTTAATATAAGCATATAACCCCCTATGATATTTCATTTGCTAAATAGTCATGCTTGTTAATTAGGAAAATATTTTTTTTCAAAATGCAACGAGGTAATGTGCTTATATTAAAATAAAGGGGGTTATGTGTCATATTGAAAGTATAAGGGGATCATGTGCATAAAGTTCAAACCACGAGAGGAGTAAGTGCTACTTACCCAAAATTGTAAGTAAAATTAGGAACAACCCAAAATTCTTATAAATGTAAGATAGGAAAATATATATGATTGAGTCATTATATGTCGATTTATCTTGTAAAATTACCCCATACACATCACCGCTACACATAGGCTATAGCCTCGATCTACAAAATAAAAGAATAGCACTTGTAACTAGGGTTGGGTATGGGTTGGGTCGGACAATTACCTATTCTACCCGACCCAACTTCCCGATTTTACTGAGTATTGAATATTAGCGATCCGCCATTATGGATCGGATAACGGTTGGTAACCAACTTTTTCGGGTAAATAATAGGTCGGTTGGATAGTATTATTGACCATCGGTTTATTGATTTTTTTTTTTTTTTTTAATTACAATAATAAGATGTTTTTAAAAGTTTTTTTCCCGAAGATATATAAAATTTTGGGAAAACTTATGTTGCAACAATCTAAACTTTAAAATTAAGAGTTTTTTTTAATCATTAAATTTCTATGATAAGTAAATATATTGTTGAATGACCATCTCAACCAAAAGCTTAAGCTATTAGTGAAATGTATCATTTAATATTAATATCTCCAATACGCCCCAAAAGCTTAAGCTATTAGTGAAATGTATCATTTAATATTAATATCTCCAATACGCCCCCTCAAGTGCAGACGAATTACATTTGAAGCATTGCACTTGAAATATTTTTAAATGGGTGGCTGTGAGATTCGAACTCATGACCTTTCATTTGGCCTGACTCTGATACCATGTTGAATGACCATCTCAACCAAAAGCTTAAGCTATTAGTGAAATGTATCATTTAATATTAATATCTCCAATATATATAATAAAGAATATGA